AACAATCTAGTCATATATCTACTTGTCAGTTCAACTTATATAAAAACCAGAAGTGTGAAGTATGAAAAACAATATGGGATTTAGGAGTAAGAAGAAAGGCATAATCTTATTAATAAGGATGGTCATTGACACTGCTTCTTGACCAACTGAGCTCAGAGGTTGTGAGTAGCACATTATCATCACTGTGATTTCAGTTTGTCAGCTTTCTACAACTATTAAAATTGATGATAAACAGCTTAACGTTACTCTAAGAAATTAAATTTAGAATGAACACCAGGAAGTAGAAGACATTATCAGGATAACATCTTCATCCATAGCTGCCATGACTTATAATTAGATAAGTCAAGAATTTCTCCTCAAACAGAAACATAGCCAATATCAAACCTGCAACATGTGGTGCATGGAGGCACTATACAAAAATATGCAAGAAACGTGTCTGACGCTTTGTTTCCGTCACCAAAGCAACCACATATAAGTCTTTGCTATTACTAAAAGACTTCCTGTAGTTTCAAATATTTATTGTCTCAGTAATCCGTCAAAACGGGTAAATCGGTAGGATAATACCGAATGGTATACAAGAGAATTGATTGTGTCAACATTACTGCATGATGAAGTTCAGAGTCTACACAGTATTATAAATGAGGTTAAACAGGAATAGAGATATACCAGGCAGAAGAATAAACGAAGAATCTGATGGAGAAAAAAAGTAGAAAAACATTTTTCCTTTTTTTTTCCTTCACAAAATGTCTTTTTCCGTTGATTTATCCTTCCGACTAAATTAGACGATATTTTCGTGTAGCCTAATCGTATGATCGGTATAATCTAATCTAACCAAAAGAGAAATGAACGACCAAGAGTCTATAAACTCACTAATATAGTTAGTTCATAAATATTTCTCTCTTACCCCTTGAAAAAATACTTCTACTCAAAATAATTCTCATGCACGATTACCTAATCTGAAAAAAATACCGAAGAAGAAAATGTTAGGAAAATAATTACTAAAATGTTTGTCATCTAGCATGGTAGAGAGTAATCGTTAATGTGGCAGTATAAATCCTTATATTCATTTTTTAGAAGGAAAAAAATTTTTAATTTGGCTGCAAATTTTCACAGAGAGGTAACAGACTCTTAAAGTTTCCACTTTAAAGATTAAAAGCTCTACTCAGACTTTAGTCTCTGTATTCCCTTTGAATCTTTAGAAACATCTTGCAGCTTTGTGAATCAATACAAAAAGCCGACATGTTCTTTAGTTTCTAAAAATTCTCTGAAAGAACTTCGGGAGATGCGCTAGATGAGATGTTATTTAACTCACATGATTTCCGAATAATAGATAAAATGATGGATTCTAGTTAGTTAACGATCTAAAGATTTCCTCTCTTCACTACGTTTTAATCATACGATAGGCACGGAAAGGGACAAAATTTATTTTAGTTTCTTCCCAACCAGGGTTAACTTCAAACCTAACGCTTTCTTCTCATTTGCATAATTGTTTTGGCATCGGGAAGATTGGATTTGGTAAACTGCATTCTAGTAATGTCATAAGACAGAGATTAATATTTACAGGTCTGGCAGGAGGGTAGCTGAAACTACTCACGTGCATATGACTGTCTAAATGACAGATGGTTAACTTAATGTTTGAAGCCCATTATTTAAACTTAACCTGTGGGAACTCACCAGGGTTTAGGAAAATCGTATGAAACTAATTTATGGGTTTTAAATCACTTCTGTGAGGTTGACAAGATACGTTTTGTTGTATGTGCAGGAAAAAAGCATGATTACATCAAGGTAAGTAATGGAAATACTGTCATCATACACTTTGATGTCACAGAAGAAAGCATCGCCCAACACGCTTTATTTATTGAATTGAAGAATGCACCCCGATTCACCATTGAAGAAGTGTTGTGATAAAGTCTTATCTTGAAAGGATTGTGGGTAGATTTTATTGCGTTAATCAGGACAGTGAAAAAGGATAATAATGATTAATTTTTTCTTCAATCCCGTCTGATTTATTAACCAGTCCTAGTCCAGAAAATAAGGAAGGTTGAACGTGGGAATAAACAATGCAGCCACTACAGAAACATCAAGGCAGAGAAAAATCGAACTTATTCTCCACTGGAATCCTGAACGCTTCTCGTTTTGAGGACCGGTCATGCTGCCAGTGGGAGTCCTCGGAAAGCCCGTCACTGAATAAGTCTTTTTTGATAAGGATAGATGAAAGAAATTCTCACGCGATTTTCGGAGCTAGGAGGGACGCCTATCTTGTGAAGGAAAAGAGGTGATATGGTATTAAGAGTCCGTGAAAGCAGATGAAATAAAAGTGGGCTCTGTAAATTCTCAGCTAAGGAGTCAATAATATTCTGCGACCATCCAAAAGACAACTACGAGTACATTAAGAGTATGGCTACCACGCTGTCGTTAACAACGTTGAAGACCCATATGCAGTGGTAACCAATCCCTTCTAGAATCCCTTACGGCAAGGTGAAATTCAAAAAGTAAGAAAATTGCAATTATACAAACAACGCAGATGAAGAGACCAAGGTGGAGTTCTACAGACAGTTGAGAGGCTCAGGTTGAAATTAAGTATAATGGAGAGCTGTTTATAGATATCTACGTCTTTAGCGATATGTTGATTAGAGGCAGCTTATGTAGGTACTAGGATACACATAATGTGACACAGACTTCACTGGGTGGACATCACAAAAATCAGACAAATTTTATCTCAATCTCAAGAATTTGGCAACACAGCTTGCTGAACACAAAATCGAGAAAGGTTTAGGATGTGGGCCCAGATCACTATCTATTACAAGCAGCTTTCAAGATAAATTTGAAAGTCTCCAACAAAACTGAAGGTTGGAGACATCACCGGAGTAAGTGGCGTGTAAGAATTTTGTAACTATATGAGAACGATGTGAAAGACATCTTGTGTAATAAGAAAAAGCACGAAAAGGCATGTCTGCCTGTGGACAAGTATAAGGTGATAGAGAAAAGAAGGATGGTGAAACATAAGACTGTTTTATGACAAGCCTCGAAAATGTTCCATCACTGATCATTTTTAGTTGTTTTCAAGGTGATATTTGATAATACTTATGACCGTAATCAGTTGTCACATGTGCTTGATAACTGTCATCCAGCAGTAAGGTTCACCCTTGTAGTAGAAAAAGAATATATGATTCCCTTCCTTCATTTTAAAACAGCGAATTAAACAGCGGAATCTCAGGGAGGTCGTTCCATAGAGAACCCACATGGAACAGTCAACTGAGGAATTTCCAGAGTGCCTATTATTTCTTGACTCTTGTCTCCGACATATCGGTGGCTCTGACGATTGTGAAGATGAACGGAACTCTCTGAATGAAAACATTCAAAAGGGATATCTAGCAAAATCAATCGACAAAGACATCACATCAGACATTCAGAAAAATGAGAAATAGGTTGTGCCAAAAAAGTGATTTACTGCCTTCTTGTATAGAAACCTACTCGCTGAATTATTGTTAGTGGCAGTTGTGCCAACCCATATCGATTTTTGGTGTCGCAGAAGTATTCCTGTCCTTCATATCACATAGTGTGGCAATCACTGTACGAAGTGCCAGAGAAGTATAATTGACTAATAAAGGAAGCTGTACATAAGCAAAAGAAGTAGCGACAGCTTGTGGTGTGCGTCGAGAACGCCTACTGTAATCATTCATATTTAATTTCGCAACAGATACACTAGTGGGTGTGACCCTCGCCAACTTCAATGTCTCGAGGCTTGTCTGATTACAAGAGGGAATAACTCCTTGATCTGCAGCATATAGATGATGCATCACCTTCAAATTGAACCATCAAGAAAGTACATCTTCTGTGTGTCCTCAGCATTGACCTAAGCATGTCTGGTATAAGTTTTGCTGCTGTGCATTCTAGGATCACAAGTGATTAGTCTGCATGTAATTTTATTTTAAGAATATATTGTAAATTGGCTTATCTTGTCTATTTCTATATTTATTCGGACAGTCATATCACCTATTATGTATTTGTTTTAGCGAAATTTAAACAAGCAAAATAGTATTTTGGGTTGGGGGCACTAATAAAATCACTAGTCTAAAGAACATCTTCCTCATGGTTGTGAGATATGGGTGATGAAAGTGGAGAATGTAAAACTCTAGCTACTTTCGACTTTAGCTGTACTTCTTCAAATTCTCCTGTTAGGTGGTCAACAATAATGAGAATAGGTGCAGTGTTCGGTAAAAACGAAACGTTAATCGATACGTTTGTGAATCTCCGTCATTTGAGATAATTTGGTAACTATCTGTCACCACTTTCCATGACAAGAATTGTTATCTGGAATAGAATTAGATCGCGAAACATTTACGCGTGGTCAGAGGAAAGTATAGCAACTGTTCATGAGGTATTTAAATTTTGATTGCAGCCATATATGGAGGTAGAGACTACGCGCCTGCAGTCCACGCGAATCTAGGAATCACTAGTGTGAGATTGCTAGTGAACTAGCGCGATGTCGTTAACAACGGTGAAAATGTATTCTCTGTATGTTGTCATCCGGACTTTGATAATCATCAGTAATCTTAATCGAATTATGCCTATTTCTGCACACTTTCCTTCATCTAACATTTTGTGTGCTTTTAAGAACGGCCACGTATTTTTAAACTGTTACTAGTTAGAATTTAAACTCATTTCAGTTTAGATAAAGATATTAAGAAGTAGAACTACAACGATCTGATACAATATGCTTGACTGTTTAACTTCTACTTCTGAATACATATCGGTCGCAAGTGAAACCAAGTGAAGTCATTCGCTATGCCCACATTAAGTGGAAGTTCTTCTCTATGTGACCTGCTGAGCATTTTAAATAGATTAAAGAAAAAGTTAATCGCGGTATAAACTGGGTATTTGTAATTACCTCCTCAGCAACTTAGTTCTGTGCATACATCGCAACCGTTGTGAGCTGCCTTCAACCTATTCACTTCAGTCGAAAATCAAACATATTATAACTACATCAAATATACCTATTATGAAATGGGTGAATTATTACCAAAACAATATCCTAAAAACATCAAAGAATGACATAACAGATGACTTTTCGAATGGCTTTTGTAGGCATATATATGTGTGAGTGAACGACAAAATAGAATTTGGTGCTTTTTAATTTCAAATCCACCATCAGGTAACTCTTGTCTACGCATGAATGGATATTTATTCTCATACCTAGAAAAAATTTTAAAATGGATGTATATATGGCATTCGATTGATAAATGAATGTCACGAAAATAATCCAGAATTCATTGAACATTGATGAGGTTAAGATAAAAATCGACTGTGTAAATGGGAATACTAACAGAGTTTTGAAAAGTAAGAAAACGTTTGCTCCAAATTTTATTCCTTTAAAGACACTTTCACAGAGGAAGGATGAAAAATCCTAAATATAGCCTAGTGAACAACTTAGAGGAAAATTCAGCTGCAAATTTAAAAAGTTGCATAGTTGGGTAGAAACGGGAAGCACACTGCATCCTTGTCCAACAGATATAAATTAAACACTCGCAATAGGAATGACAGAACACCAATACCGGAGATACGGAAAATATTATTATCAATATCACTAAAGGATAAGAAATAATGTAAGAACATAAACAAAATCTGGAAATGAGTGCAAAAATAAAATGAAGAGAAATAAGTTGTGCTCGAAACGTCATCAGTAAATGAATGGCACTGTATAACTCACAGTGTTATAAAAAATGGTTCCACTATAGCGCCCAAATTCTATTCTCATATGAAGTGAAACTGATAAAATAAACCAATATTTCTTTGCAATAACAAACTCATAATGCTGAAACTAGAAAGAAATGTTGTTTATCTAGGAGAGCTACCCAATCAAAAATCTCTTTTTCAGAAAACAAATGAAGAATACTCCTGTCAAAAAGATGAACTAATCACCTGGTTTTCCGCAAGTTGCAAAATTATGTGAATGATAAACTTAGAGCTTTGGACTTCATCGGTAAACTTGCCAACACATCCGAACAAAATTAATATAGTGATGCGAAATAATCGCAACGGAATTGCAAAAAGTCGTGTCTTTTCATCTATCTATCTGTCTATCTATCTATCTATCTATCTATCTATCTATCTATCTATCTATCTATCTATCTATCTATCTATCTATCTATCTATCTATCTATCTATCTATCTATCTATCTATCTATCTATCTATCTATCTATCTATCTATCTATCTATCTATCTATCTATCTATCTATCTATCTATCTATCTATCTATCTATCTATCTATCTATCTATCTATCTATCTATCTATCTATCTATCTATCTATCTATCTATCTATCTATCTATCTATCTATCTATCTATCTATCTATCTATCTATCTATCTATCTATCTATCTATCTATCTATCTATCTATCTATCTATCTATCTATCTATCTATCTATCTATCTATCTATCTATCTATCTATCTATCTATCTATCTATCTATCTATCTATCTATCTATCTATCTATCTATCTATCTATCTATCTATCTATCTATCTATCTATCTATCTATCTATCTATCTATCTATCTATCTATCTATCTATCTATCTATCTATCTATCTATCTATCTATCTATCTATCTATCTATCTATCTATCTATCTATCTATCTATCTATCTATCTATCTATCTATCTATCTATCTATCTATCTATCTATCTATCTATCTATCTATCTATCTATCTATCTATCTATCTATCTATCTATCTATCTATCTATCTATCTATCTATCTATCTATCTATCTATCTATCTATCTATCTATCTATCTATCTATCTATCTATCTATCTATCTATCTATCTATCTATCTATCTATCTATCTATCTATCTATCTATCTATCTATCTATCTATCTATCTATCTATCTATCTATCTATCTATCTATCTATCTATCTATCTATCTATCTATCTATCTATCTCTCTATCTATCTATCTATCTATCTATCTCTCTATCTCTCTATCTATCTATCTATCTATCTATCTATCTATCTATCTGTGTTTCTGTTTGTCTGTCTGTATGTTTGTATATATGTATAAATATGAACATGCGGAACATAAAAGAGACAACTTTTGCGAAACGGATTTTATTTTAATAAAGGTTATATAGAGGTTACTGTAAACAAACAACATTTATTAAACTTTAATTGTAAAATTTGCAAAATATTCTGATTACATTTTATCACTAGTAATAATAACCCCCCGGAGAATCCAGTTTTCTGGTGTTTTCGAGCATTTTAAAGACAAAGAAGTGATATAGTCATCGTTCAGTCGACTTGTGGTTTTGTATATAGGAGTAATAAACTGCGCATACTCTAACTCCATTTTCCTGTTAGTTGCTTTCATGTCTTGGCTATTTTTCTTTATTATTCCAGATTTTATTGTTTTACTTCTCGTCATATAATCCTTCGACGAGGAAGAAGATATCGTTGATTGAACTGTGTGAATAACATTTGAGACGTCTTTATCATCTGCATTGTGAACAGTTAAATGTATCAACGGCAACAGGTGACCCAGTTGTTTGTATTTGGCCTCAACAAGACAACCATTTTGAATATCCCATGATGCGCCAATTAAACACAGACCATGGATGTATATCCCTTTGGCTGGATTTTCTTTCGCATCCTCCAGAAAGAGTTGAGTCACTTGACATCTCAAATCTAAATCAATAAGTGACAAGTCTTGGAAATACTTGTGTAGAGCTTCTTGTTTAATTGTTAGTAAAAATCCCTATCGGTATGAAAAAAAAATAACAGTAACAATGTTAGATAAATTAAATGAAAGTGCTTACATTTTAAAATATTTGGTGAACAGTGCATTTCATTTGTGATTTAGAGTTTAGTTTACAGGTGGATATAAACATGATGATATAAAAGAAACTAAATGTGCAGTGCTGCCATTCAAAATAATAATGACTTGTAAATAATCAGCATTTACTCATTTACACATCAGACAGCATAAAAATATCACAGTGTGTTCATATATTTAGGTAAAAAGAAAATTATTATTAATACTTTATCCAGTAATCTGTTCACGATGCCTAATCATTCACAATGTTAACAATAAATATTCTGTGTCAACGCTAAACACATAACTCCATGACTTAAAGGTTCATTTTACATTTAAAAATAAGGTGGACTGAATGATCTGCACATGTTACTTAAACTCAGATTTTTAGTTGTTTATTTCTTATTTCAGTGTGCAAGCTGCAACAGAAGAGGTTTATACTTACGCTTTCTGTTAGGAAGACAGATTACTCACGTCATATTGAAGTACATTTACCAACAGGTGAAATTCACAGTGTAAACGAAAAGAATAGGTAAACGTCATTGTTACGTCAAAAAGTAGGGTAATAAAGGATCCAGTGTACTGGTTAAATCTTGTGTCCCTTAAGAGGAACACCAATAAGGTAGTGATTTTGAGAAAATACTGTGCCATCTACTGCACCAAAAGACCAAAACAGTAGTGCTATTTGTGTGAAAAGTGAGAATAACTATATGAAATCCCGCTTCTATAAAATAAGGATGTTATTTGCGAAGTTCAAGTTCGGGTGGTTTTCTTGACTTATTCCATATATTATCCGTAAAATTCCACAAAACGTAAGCAGATATTTATCCTTGTCAGTGATTAACGCATGTGGATTTTGAAACTGGGATCAGGAAAGTACGAAAGGTTTATATTACACTAAAATCACTGTGGAAATTACTATCCTTGGCATAAAGAACAACATTCTAATCATCGATACTGATGTCAAGTCATTTTGTTGAAGTGAGTTTTTGTTTTTCCTCTTTAATCGACTAAAGAGAAATACCCATTTTTTGCCGACATCTAGGCCTCTATCATGGATAGTTAGACGACATCTGTGGATTAAAATTGGTATCAAAAGTAGCCAAACATTTCGGTTGAATTAATTAGCTGGAAGAAACAAAAATGGCCTAAATTTAACAGCTTATCCTCATTGCACAAGAGGTGGCTGTCGCCGCACAAGTACTCTAGAAAATAATGCTCCGAAGTTTGAAACGAAGATTAGTGTTTTGGAGTCTCAGTTGGAACACCACCACTTACTGTTTAATGCAGGTATATCCAGCCAATGTTTCCCGAATAGAACGAAACGAATATCTTGGATTCCACTGGCAGCTAGCGTCTGCCTAATAAAATTAATGTCAAGGCAGTTCTTCTGTATGGTTCACGCAAATTACCAAAAGTATTTGCAGCAGGCTGCAAACTTTCGTTAACAGCTGCCTTCGCTGGCTCGATACTGAAAGCCTATTGCCAATATTCAAGGCCAAACAATAAGGAAGTCTGATAATAAACCATTCAAGAAACTATCATCCAACAAATACGGACATAGAAATGGAGATGGACTATACATATGCTGATGAGACTAATGAGTAACATCACGTTCCAGAGTCCCGAGTGGAAAAAGAAGTGGGCCTTCCGTGGTGACATGGGAGTGACAGCGTAAGGTGGGCGATTGTGCCACCAGTTAGTCAGGTATACAGAGAACAAAGCGAAACGAAGACGTAATTCTAAGGAAGTAATACTGTAACTATAACATCACTGTTAACTATTAGATATACATTGATTTAATGCATAATCTCTTATCCAGATAAGTTTACATTCTAAGAAGCTAAGAACAATCTAAATACAGTGTAAACTTGGTAAAAATTATAACTGGCTTACTCGAGGATTGAAAAATCCAGTCATCCGATAGCTGTTTAGTTTTCCTGTCGACAACCAAGTTGATAATTGAATATGACGGTCTAGAAGTTCTCTGAACCATGATGCCATTGCAACAGATTTCCATGACATCTTGAAAGGAAAAAAAGATTTCTTCTTTTCTCACAATGATTATATTATAATATAAAGTTGTGGGTCGTCGGGATATACGGTTTTGAAAATGACCGACGTCCTCATGAACTATCGAAGCATTATTTTCAAATGCGAAAATCATAAACTTCGAAGAAGCTAATTCACATACTGAATAAACTTAATCATTAAGCTCTTGGATAACAGTTCCAATTTTTAACTTAGGAATTCTATGATAAAAGTTTCTACTTCTAATTATGCTGATTATGTTACCACCCATCGTGTCTGTTTCATTGCCTATACTGTAAAATAATCTGTACTGCGCCAAGTAACTTCAAACAAAATGTCAAGCTTTTAAATATAAGTATTTCCATTAGACTAAGTAAGTGCCTGTTCAAAAGTAAACGTTAATTGTTATGTTTTTCATAATTGCAAATTATAATTACATGCATGTATTTTTGTGAATCGTTTTTTTTTGTAATATTCCAATTAAAACATTAAAGAATTGTTCGCAAGAAGTACAATAAAGTACAATTTTTAACTAGTTGAACTCACCTTTATCCATATCTCAGGTACTTTTGTTTCGTATATCTCATTCAACATTTTGTCCGCATGTTTGTTCATAACTTCATGACCTTGTAAAATGTTTAAAAGTTCTTGAACATCATCTGATAATAATTTAATCAGCTTATTCATTTGGCTGCATTCCCTTAGCATAAAAATTACCAGTGGGTCAGCATTGTGCTCATAATTTTTTGTTGATAGAATTGATGGGATGCAAGATTGAAGTTGATAGCAGATATGTGTTAAACTGTTAACCAGTTTGGTGCCATCACTGAGGTCAGGATTTCTTATTGAGCTCCCTTCCGTAGTCTTGAGAAAACGCGTTGAGTTGTCAGCATATAAGTCAGTTAAACAACCTGAACTCTCATGATGCCCATGTGTATCACTGTCTTTAAGAAGAAGTTTTTCAACAGATTCTAAGATACGCCAACCAACAGAAGCAAAGTAGCTGTAAAGATTAGAGATACTCATGGTCACATAACATACCAAACATTAATTTAATGAACCATAGTATCCGTAGTGTAATCAACATAAATATAAAAAACGGATAGACTGAAACCAAAAGTCTCGGTTGTCACTCGGGTGCATTAATAATGAAGACGCTACTCATCATAAACTGTTTCAGAGGTTAAAAGATTAAGGAGCTTTTAAACGATCCGTCTTAATGGATCAGTACAATAAAATTTAGCCCAAGTGTTATGTCGTAGGCTTCCTCGTCTTTTCTTCAAACTTTTCAATTTTTGCACATTGAAACACCTAGGCTTTAAAAAATATTTTAATAACATTCGGAGGCATCATTACGACCCAATACTTTTAAGTATTCATTATCAATCTGCCTCTTCTTTTATCCATTGTTCGTTTTATCTATTTTATTCGCTGGCTCCACCATGATGACTTCTCCATTTCTGTCTAGAACTCTAAATGAGTTATCGTAAGCTGGTTGAAGTGGTCGCTAGACACTATCCCTCCTGATGAAAATGTAAGCAGAGTTCATCAATTGTGGTGGCATTTATGATGGTCGTCGTTGCTGTCGTGGAATTGATATTTTTAGCTCACACATGTTTTGCTTCAGCATATACATGTAGTCGTATTAGATGGAAATTGGTTATCTGAAGTGAAAAACTCTCCTGGTAACTGCAATGTTGTCCTGTAGACTAAATGAGGAACGCAACATTCGATATCTTTCTTTAAGTTTGCTGGTATCCCGAGTGGTACAAGTAGGAGTTTGGTGGATTGATCATTTATATTCAGAGAGGCAGCAAGTGCAAACTTTAGTTGCCTATGTAATCGTTCAATAGTCCCACTGAAAATGCAATAATATGAAGTCGTCTGTATGTGTTTTATTCCCATTAATTTGATGAGCTTCTGAAACAGACAGTTTTCAAATTCTGCACCTCTACCGGTAGTAATAGGAGATGGAAGAGCAAGGTTTGACATCCACTTTTTAACCTCAGCTTTAGCAACTATTTCAGCGGAGATATCTGTTAAAGGAATTACTACAGGCTAACGAGTGTATCTATCAATGCAAGTTAAAATATAGTCGAAACTATTGGAAGGAGGCAGTTGAAAAGCGACATTTACACGCACATGGTAGAATCTACGGTCAAGGATTTTAAAACGACCGAATGGCTCATTGGTGCAATGAGGGATCTTAACTCTTTGACAAGGGAGGTAGTCTTGCGTTCACTTCATAGAATCGTTACCAATGTCTGGTCATATAAGTCTTTCTTTAAGCGGCTTCCTATTAGCACTGACTCCGGGATGCGAAAATTTACTAAGGTTCTCAAAAATTGTGCGTCTTACGGCTGCCAGAAAAAGTGGTCCACACTTACCATTAGATGTATCACAAATGACTCACTATGCTAAAGTGAATCTCTGTGAGTTCTAAGAATGTTATTTTAAAAGACGCAATCTTGTTCTTTTCTACATCATCATTTTGTAAGGTTGAGAGATGTTTGCAAACGATATCGAAGCATATAATACTGTTAATGTGTATGTGTTTGCGTCTGTAACTTCGCTGTTACTACCAAGTATGTGTCGAATGTCGGAGATAATTTTGTATGTAACCTAAGATGCCGTAATTCACGAAGTGAGTAGTTATCTTTTTTGGCTGATAAGGCTTTGTTTAGAACCATAAAGAAAATAAAAACTGTACTTTATAGTTGATATCTGAGATGTTAGATAGCTAAATAAATTGCTAGCAATTCTCTGCCCAAAGTGCTATGGCGAAAAGAATGAAAGTGGTACACTTGTTGCTGTTGAACTGCCTCACAATGGCTAAGTTCTAGTAGTCCATCATGAGGGGAATAGAAGCTTAGTTTTTGCGTCTGACTAGGAATGTCTTTTCACTTAACAAGATAATTAACACTTTTGGACGATTTAAAGGCTTGAGTTTACTATTGAAACCACCGATTACGTTCACGTAAACAGTCAGTTAATGATTGTGAGATAGTAGCGCAGTTGGGAATGCAGCGACCATGAAAACTGTCAAGAAACGAAAATCCTCGTAATTCCTTAAAGAGATCGGTTGGTGGATAGTCTTAAATGGTCTTCGCGTCATCCTTGGCTGTAGATCAAATGCCTGAGCAATTGTCTTAGGTTGACTGTCAATCAGCACAACTAAAGTCTTTCGAATACAGTCTTCACATATCTCAGTTGTTCACTCTGATTTGCGCTCACAATTGGTGGGTTATCGATGTATGTATAGAGGAAGGAGAGACCACGAAGCACATGATCGATTAACCGTTGGCATATCTGAGTGGCGCACACTAGCCTAAAATGCATGTGGATAAATTTTTTCAAACCAAATAGTGTCGTCGAAATGGATGAGAATTTGGTGACAATGTCAATTTGGGAGAAAATGTGAACATCAGGAAAACTTCTGGATAAGTCGTGTATATGAAAAAATGTGTCTCTTGGGTACTTCTTGTTTGTTCAAAGCTCCGTAATCACCTCACAGCCGAATTTCACCAGAATGATGCCCAGTTCCAGTATTCTGTCCGACTCTTCCCTTGAAATACAAAGTTGGTATGGATCAAGACGTCGCGAGTGTGCAAAAATTGGTGATCAAGCAGTTTTAATACTATGAAACATGTGATGCCTCAGTTCTGTTTCTCAAAAGGGAGTTTTCACCTGTGCTTTCTAATATAATGTTGTCCATATCTGGTCATCTGACCCAATATAGAACGCGAAGCCGTGATTGTAAAATAGCATGTAGATCGGAGTTAGATACAGTATGCAACAAAGATACCCAACCCACAACATTCACAATCACCAATTACCAATAATGGAAGAAATTAAAAGGAAGTAGTCCTCCTGACATACTTGGAATTATCCCTTCAGTCATAGGCAGGAGGTAACAATTAAGACGGTAAAGCAAATCTGAATCGAATAGGTAAGGCTGGAGAGGGTTTATGACACTCAAAATCAATGTGGACATCTGGAGTCCTCAGTACGCGGAGAAATAGTCAAGTTTTCAGCAGTAATGTCGAGTCATTCATTCAATATGTTCCAAAGACGTGGCCTGTAAGTGATCAAAAGTGTTTCAAACAGGCTTACGAAGACATTTATAGACTTGTCTTCAGTGCGTACTGTAGATGATGGGGTCAACCAAGAGGGATAAGCAACAAAGAAGTCCAGCAGGCCAGAATCTGCTGCTCAGTAAATACGCAGAAAGACTGAACAAACTCTGAGAGGACTTTTAAGCAATATGGCAAATCAGGGCCTTGAGTGGAACCCTAATAGGGTGCGTGCATTCGAGTATGATATAGTCGAGATCATGTGAAGGGAAGTTGGAAGCTTGTGACAAATCGTGTTAGAAAGATGGAAGAGGACAGAATACAGTGGAGATGCGCTTCTCAAGTCTTATGTTTCATTTGGAACCCAGGGAATAAATAAATAATAACAGTGAATGGTAACATAATTAATTTCAGGACGAGCAGATCTTGGTTGAAGAGCCAAGTTTTATAGGTAAGAATGAGGTCTAAAATAATCATGCCTTCTTTTTGTGAATTTAAAGGAGTTTCAGTTTTCATGGGACATTCGTGGAATAAGAAGAAATCCTTTTGTTCCTTAATCTGTGCTGACTGATCACTCTGCCGTTCAAAAGTTTCTTTTTTTGTGCGCCTTGCTCAACCACGTAGAAACAAAAGTTTTGTTTAGTTAAATACACCAAACTGCAGGAAAGTAAAAAGATCTAAATGGAAATTTTTTAATGCAAACATAGACTCAACGGAACCTCATAAAATGTTCTTAGAGCTTTAAGATAAAAACTACCAGTAGTAGGATAATCTATATCCTTTGTTGTGTATTTGCTTTTTCAATTCATGGATAAACCCCATCCAGGCATTAATGAAAACAGAAAGGCCTAGATCAACAAAGAATATCTTTTCGGCAAATTCATTTTCCACCTTATCTGTACAATCACAAATATATATGTGTTACTTCGTATGAATGTGTACATTAAGTTTGTCAAACAAAAATACAATTGGTTATGGTTATTTTAACTAAACAGGTGAAGATTAGTAATTGGAGTTGTGTAATACAAAATCAGTCAAGAAAATTGGGTGTTAATGAAATTAGGGTAGTAACAAAGGTGATGAGTTGTTACAAACAGTTGTTAAAAGAAGTTATGCAATGATATGAGTAGTTTGATGAGTGAGTTTTACTCAGGACGCAATATAGGAACAAAGAAGAGAATACGAAACTGCGTAAGAGATCTCAGTGAATACAAGAATTATAAGCAACTGAAGAACAGACAAACAAAGTTAAGTCATGAAAATCAAAAATCAAATCAAAAAAGTTGTTACCATGACAGCAGAAATGGTTGAGTAATCCTCTTTTGTATGCACACCTCAGGTTATTCTACGTTAATGGCCACAGCTTCAGTGATACAAAGAAGACGAAACCGTATTGATAGATTATTTTTGACTCTGTAGATTACCTTGAAAGAGGCGTTTTTTGAAATGGGTTTTCAATTATCGCACTCCTTATTTTGATGAGTTAATTTTGTTTCTTCGCCTGTTCTTTAATCTCATATAATTCTTGTATTCATTTAGAACTGTTACGCAATTTCGTATTATCTACTTTGTTCCTATATTGCGTCCTGAGTAGAACTCACTCATAAGGCTATTCATATTATTATACAACTTCTTTTAACAACTGTTTGTAACAACTCATCACCTTTGTTACTACCCTAATTTCATTAACACCCAATTTTCTTGACTGATTTTGTATTACACAACTCCAATTACTAATCTTCACCTGTTTAGTTAAAATAACCATAACCAATTGTACTTTTGTTTGACAAACTTAATGTACACATTCATACGAAGTAACACATATATATTTGTGATTGTACAGATAAGGTGGAAAATGAATTTGCCGAAAAGAGACACTTCGCTGATCTACGTGTTTTTTCATTTGTTTTTTTCGTCTTTAAAATGAGTCATCGTAAGTCAGTGACCTGCCGAGTTTCTCACAGACACGGTGATCATTTCCATGTGACACTTAGGGAGTAGTCGCAGATTCATCAATTGTTTTTTTACTTATCCGGGTACTGCCTATCTAATAGTGAAGAAAATGACGAAATTCTGTTTGCTTCTGTTGTGAATTATTTAAGAAAATATTACACGCCTAATTTCGATAGACGATTTAAACCCATAATGACCCGTGTCAAGAAAAAAATTTAAAAGCATGATATCGATTCATCCTGTATGACACGTTATGAAGAAGCAATTGCCACAGTGTCAGTACTGTCTCACACCAAGAAGGATTCTGTGAAGCAGATTAATTGTGTTTAAAAAAACATAAATTAGCCTAAAAAAGGAAATGACAATACTATTTCGGATGTTATTTTCACCTTATCATTTTAAAAAGGTTATTTTTGCAGGCTAGTGCACATATCTATAGATGAATGGAAAATAATTCGGTCGTGTAAGAGGTCATAATTCATGTTAATTCGCTTGCTTGGTGAACCAAATAGTGATAGGTTGTTTTTATATTTTGAGAATAAATCGCTGTTCTCAGTTAGATCATTTCAGGTGAAATTCTTCAAAGTTTGGTGCAAAAAGGTTCATTGTGCTGAAGTTTCTGTAGCAATTTTGATTACAGGGTGGAGTTGCTAGCCTCACGCCTGAGAAAGGAATGGTTACATTAAGATAAAGTTTAGAGAGAAGCGACCTTTTAGGTTGCTCCCCTCAAAATCGGAAAATAACGGACAAAACAATGAGAACAACACCAGAAAAAGGAAAACAGTTCACAGCAAAAAGGGCGAAAAGCGACAACAACGATACAATACAACAACATGCAACATGGTTCAGCACAGTTAAATAAAATGATATCTCAACCATAGACTCACTGTCTTGGAACAACTTGAACATGTAAATCCAACAATATATACAATTATAGATATGCAGGCAACAATGGACAATACTCCAGCTGGTGACATTAAAATACTAATGGAAGACATGAACGCCAAGCTAGGACCAGACAACACAGGAAAAGAACTCATCATGGGTAAAGGAGCTCTCGGAGAAATGAATGAAAACGGAGAACTCTTCGCCGACTTCTGCTCCCTCAATGGTGCTCAAGGAAGTGGAGGCACAGCCTACTGGACACAAAAGCAAGAAGAGGAGCAGACGTTGGCTCAGACCACTATCTCGTACAAGGGACAATCCAAATCAAATTAAAAGCTTTCAGGGAAACAGGAGCTGTAGACGGACCACAAGCCAAGTTCAACACTCAAAAGCTGAAGGACCAGGCTACAAAGGACATCTTCATTGCAAACATAAGGGAGAAAGCCGAGACACAAATCAACACTAGAGAAAAGGTCAGCGTCGAAAAGCACTGGGACAACTTGAAAACGGTGTGAAGTCAAACCTGCATGGGAGTTCTAGGCAGAAAGAAGAGAGGCAGGACAAACAGTGGCTCACTACGGACACTTGGAAACTAATAGAAGAGAGAAGGACAGTGAAACAAAAGATTATCCAGTGCACTGACGAGCAACAAAAACAGGTGCTGAATGCAAGCTACAATACACTGAACAAAAGAGTGAAGAAGAGTGCCAGGGAAGACAAAAGAAAGTATTGTGAAACCATGTCAAGTGAAGCGGAACAAGCTGCAGGCAAAGGAGACCTCGCCACACTCTACCAAACAACTAGGCACCTATCAGGCAAAAGTCCGACACAGATTAAGCCAGTGAAGGATGGCAATGGAAAGTCAATCACCAAAGAGGTGGAACAAAGAAAACACTGGGCTGAACACTTCCAAAGACTTCTAAATTGACCGCCACCTACAACACGCCCAACAATACCAACAACGGAAGCAGAACTATCAGTGAACATCGATCCTCCGACGAAATCGGAAGTCCTGAATGGAATCAAGATGCTAAAAACTGGAAAAGCAGCAGGACCAGATGGAATCCCAGCAGAAGCTTTTAAAATATACCCAGAGACAACAACGGAATTGATGACACCACTGCTGGAGAAGGTGTGGAAAGAGGGCAAAGCACCTGAGGATTGGAAGAAAGGATACTTATTCAAACTACCAAAGAAAGGAGATTTAAGTCAATGTAAAAACTGGCGTGTAATCATGCTCCAGTCCATTCCAAGCAAAATAATAAGCCGCATCATCCTGGAGAGAATCAAACAAGCCAACTGGATGAAAAACTTCGACCGGAACAGGCTGGATTCAGGAGAAACAAATCATGTATTGATCAAATCGTCACTCTACGAATCATCATTGAACAAAGCTTGGAATGGTAGTCACCTCTCTATATCAACTTCATCGACTTTGAAAAGGCCTTCGACAGCGTCGATCGAGAGGTCATTTGGAAACTACTTCGCTACTACGGGGTCCCATCGACAATTCAACATCTCATCCAACAGTTGTACGACAATATTGTATGCCAAGTAATCCACAACGGGAAACTTACAGAGGCCTTCGAAGTGAGCACGGGAGTTCGACAAGGCTGCCTACTACCACCAATGATCTTCCTGATTGCAGTAGATTGGATAATGCGACAGACAACGGCAACCAACGAGGGAACAGGTATAAAATGGACTGACACAAAAGACTTGGAGGATCTGGACTTCGTCGATGATAGATGTCTGATTTCCCACAAACTGGAAGATATGCAAGTGAAAAGCAACAAGTTGGCAGAAGAAGCATCCAGAGAAGATAGGACTTCAAGTGAACATAGATAAAACAGAGGTGATGAAGATTCCTGGTCAACGCCAACAGCAGCAATAACATCAGACAACAATCAGCATAAATGGGAGGAACCTGAAAGAAACAACCTCCTTCACCTACCAACCTGGAAAGCATAGTTTCAACTACAGGCAGACGGAACTGACGAGGATATCAAAGCCAGAATCGGAAAAGCAAGACAAGCTTTCATTACTCTTAAGTCTGTGTGGAGTTCAGTAGCACTCACCATCAAAAATAAGATCCGGATTTTCAACTCCAATGTAAAGCCAGTGCTAATATACGGATCAGAGACTTGGCCAGCGCGTCATAAGGAGCATCTCAAGCAAACTTCAGACCTTCATCAACAGTTGTCTTTGCTCAATACTCAATATCAGATGGCCGGCCAGAAAATATCACCAACAGGGATCTCTATCAATGAGCGAACCAACAAAGCAGGAACCGATTGTGAAACAAATAGGCAGGAAGAAATGGAGATGGATTGGATTGGCCATACTCTGAGGAAACACACCATCAAGTGACATCACTAGACAAGCCATCGCTCGAGTGGGACTCGAAAGGGAGGCGGCGAGTTGGTCGTGAGGGTGACTTGGATGAGGTCATGTGAAGAGGAGATGAAAGCGTGTGGGCAGACTTGGAGCGAGGTGAAAACGGGGTAAACGGAGCGTGGTAAAAGAGTTGGCAGAAAACAGAAGGCAATGGAGACGCGCAGCTGAAGCCCTTTGTTCCTCTAGGAACTAAAGGATGCAATAATAATATGCAATAGTGATAATCTTCAAAGTTTTGTAGTAAACCATTCTTTCGCCTTTCCAGATAACAAGTTTTTTCCCAATCTCTACTATAGGTGTTGAGTTATTTCCGCTACCTGCATTACGTGTTGCTAAGATAGAAAATGAACTCAGTGAACTCGTTTCCTCTGAGTTTGATTATTATAAGCTTAAGGACTTTCAACCCCTCTGTTGTGGTTATAAGTCGGTACATACCTCAGGAATACAAATGTTGCAAAATACCTTTAAAAATCATGAATAGTAGTTGAAATTGTGTCTAGAAATATACTTGAAATTTTTGGATGGGCTTTTAATGTTTTATTCAACTTAGTTTGTATACTGAGATGCATAGTTCATCTATTTATGTTAACGTTATTTGAAATCTTTGACATACCCAATTTCTGCATTAGGATTTAAGTGAAGTGTTTCTACTGAATTTCGATTTGACAAATTGGTAACAAGCGTTTCATAATTTGTTGTTTTTTCAAGACTTGGAATTATGCGACTCGGCGCCAGCTCGAAACTATGTGAAAACATATCTGGCTGGAGGAATTTCTTGACAAGTGTGTTCATTACTCGTGCATCCTGTTCTTCACTAATCTGACCACCATAAATTATTTCTGCAACCATAAACTGCATATATTTCCAAATGAAACTCTGAAAAAAATACGTAGTAATTACTTCAGACGAAATCCCATCAGTTCTTATTTCATGTTGATTATCATTTTTAGGTTGCGATCTATTAACATGCGCTGACTAATGTTACTGACACTGAAAGACAAATGTCCGTTTCGGTGAGTTTAGTTAACTTAACACCAGATTTATTCTTCACAAGATTTGTGAAGTATCTCAGTTTGTTTTTTATACAACTTTTAAAGCTATCAGTGAGTCTTAAAGTAGCACCAAGTCCGGATTTCCAACAAAAAAATATTCCTCTACAGGTATAGCAGTTCAGTCTTTCAGTGAAGTTCCAAACGTGATACGAGGTAAGTGCATTGCCATAATCACCATTAATTATTTCGACCAAAAACTTATACATGACTGATTGGATGTAACAATTCCTTAGCTTTAGGACTGTTCACCAGAGTGAAAAATGTTTCCGAAACTTGAAATCAAGTCGTTAACACAGGATATGCCAAAAATATATAATTTTGTATCATAGTAGGTATATGGTGGACTTTTAAGATACTTATGTGTACGAAGATGCAGGAAGTGTCTCAAACACTGTTAAACCAGCTTCGAAGGGGCATAATCTCTTTACGGCTTCGGTTTCACATCCCCAGCAGAATAAGTGCAGAATCTGATTAAGAGAACTTGTTTCATAAACCGCGTGATCCTCAATGAATGAACCACGATAAAAAGAATTGATTACATTCTGAACTAGTTGAAATCGTACTATTTCACGTCATTTCCTTGATTTAGAATCAACGTAAAAAGTAAAGAAGATGGGAAGTTTAACACTAGTGTTTACAGAAAACCTATACATTCAAATAGATATTTGGACTTCCGATCATCCCATCATATGTCAGTAAAAACAGGATTGGTGAAATGTTTAAATGACAGAGCACAAAACTAAGTAGTACCAAGGAAAATCTATGATGGGAAGTGATGCACGTAAAAGAAGCCTTGAAACTTAATAATTACCCGGATGAATTATTCAGGAAGTATATAAGGAAATGTAGAAATAAAATAAATAATGATAGTAGCGATAGTGATAATAATAATAATTACGACACCAACAATAAGGAATTTAAATCATCAGTAGTATTTCCATGCAAAGAAGGAACCTCGGAGGCCTTACGCAGAATTCTTAACAAGGCAGGAATAAAAGTGGCATTCGAACCCACAAGCTCAATTAGAAGCACGCCTTGTCGGTTAAAGGATCCCGTGGAGCCAATTAAACAAAACAATTTATCCCTGCAATGATTGGCAAGTCAAATACATAAGTCAGAGTAGTAGAACAAGGGCAATTAGACTAGCCGAACATAAAAACCTAGCTAAATCTAGATTGGTTGGCCCAAATAAGATAAGAAACCTAGAAAATAGTCCAGCTATAGCACTACATGCAATTACATACAACCATACAATAGTATAAGATAAGATGACAGTTATAAAATCTTATGTAACAGGATGAGGGGAGAGATTGGTAACAAAAGACATATCTATCTAACGAACTGCGGGGGAAAACATGTAACAGAAATGATTCAACGCTTGTCCCAGACATCTGGAAACTTCTACTACCCCCGCGACAAATAGGAAAGAATAAAGAAAACTGTAAAACAAAAGTTTTGACGTTGTACGGTTATAACTGATATGATTACGAACAGTAATAAATTGGGTTCGAAACATCATCCAGGAAATAATACTGTTACACTATGTGATATATCCAATAAACAAACTAATACGGAATTACTTACTACCACAGTGCCCAAGTTTTACATATATATTGATCTAGAATCCTGTCTGAAAACGGTCGTTTGTGGTGAAAATGACCAATAAACAAAAAAGAAAATTTGAGGTGGATGACTGGTCCCATTAAGTGGAGACGAGTTTACTTTCAAAATAATTATTCTGTGAGATAATTCAGGATTTTAAAGTGAAGATCACAATAAACATGCAGTGAAAATGACTGGAAAATGTACCTTACAAGAGATCACAAAAACTCGCGAAAAAATGGATGCATTGATAATCAAAATTTCAATGATATCAGAACTAAAGGATCTCATCTACCACTTATTTGGCCAAAGTCTAGTGCACGCAATGCCAATAAACCGATCCATGGGTCAGTCTTCTCACCAGTTAACGCTATAATCAGAAGATCTTCAAGAAGAATGATTCTTTAGTTCTGTGCTATGAAAACGATACAGAGCGGATATTTCATGTCTCCATGTTTGTCTCTGGCTTCATCTAAGAAGACATATCGATTGAATGGCTTCCTGAAGGCTTCCACCTGCCTGCCTGATTTCATTTCTGCGATTCCAGAGGGAATAGTTTCACCTTTTGTATTTTTGGAATTTCTGCAGCGACTGAAATGATTTTCCGGCGTGGGGTCGCTAGCTCCAAGCTCCATCATCCCTCTTTTCTAGGGCTTGAAATTAGCTAGTAAACCAGTGAACCGGTAAACTAGGTGAATATGATGAAAGTAATGGAAATGGGTTGGATATAATCTGAAGAGACTGTCAATCGTCAAACCCTCAAATGGGACCCGAACGGGAAACGACAAGTTGTGTGTCCGTAGACGACATGGAAAACGTCTTATGAGGAAGAAATGGAAGATTATCGGCAACAGTGGAGGCGGCTGAAATAGACTTCAGAGAACAGACTGAAACAGAGATTTTCTGTAAAAGCTCTACGTTCCATTCAGAATCCAAAGGAATAATGATAAACTACAAACAAGTATTTGACAAATCCATGAAATATTACAACATAAAATCTTGAGTCACGACGCATCATCTTCATAAAACAACAGATTTCACTGATTGGAACACAGGAATTATCTCAGTATCAATGATTGAAACCTAATGCCTTCTGCTTCTATATACGGAAGATGCTCAACTACAAACTGGTGGCAAAATACATAAATGTGTGGATTAAATAGCATTGATGAGTACACTAGATCTTATAGTCGATGATATCTTCGACTTCTACCCTTAAATATTCAGTCAACGTAATTATTTTCCAATCAAAACATTTTAGCAGCACATATGCCTGTGATAAGATCCAGAAAAGTAAAATATTGCTGCAAACATTCAAGCATCAAATTCATCACGAAGCCTGAGATTACCTAAGCTTAAGCTGCAAGAGAAATTAAAGAGGGATAGTGTACCACGAAAACTGTGCTATGAATAAAACATTCGAAATAAAACCTTTTTAATCGATGAATGTCCTTGAGCGTCCTCACTTTCACTGAATATTTATTTAAAATATGACAAATATTATATCACAGTGACTACTTTTTTATTTTCATTATTCAAGTTGCGCTCAGATGACGAAAACATAAAGAAGTGAAACGAAAAAAACGGTGTTCTAATCGCGGTAATCAGCTTTGTCTGCGAGGCTAAATACATGTTTCACAAAGTATATTTTCTATTCATACGTATCTCTTTTTGAACAATGGAACATTTTTCAACTCGTCAAAAGCACTAGCCGTGCATTAAAAGTTAACCATTTGAATGATTGTTGTTATTGAACGTGTTGAAATTTTAGCTCATTGTTAACCTCCATACTTTCAGATTCAAACAAATTAAAGTCAAAATGTTTGTATCACCTGCTTTTCAGTGAAACGTTTCTATTCTATTTATTTCGATCTACGAAATGAACTCACTATCTTTAAATAATGTGGCAGTGAGTGCTCATTTAGTATCAAGGTAAAGCCCGTGTGGCTGAGAGAAATTACACTTTTGTTAGAACTACTCGTCACCCAAGAAACAGGTTTTACTTGTTCTTGACATTTTTAAAAGCAAAACAATCTGTTTACGGTAAATATCTGAATCCGCATCAAAAATTTCACCAAAATACCTTACAAAAGATTACAATTGGCTGTAAGAAAAGCAGTTTTTTACAATATTTGGGTGCCACTTGCAATAAAAGATGTATTTTCTACCGCTGAATTAGCATGAAAATCCCGTATTATGTTGTGCCATTCAACTCTTGTTTTATAATGAATCCAGAATATACATTGAAACTTACCTCAGAGCTTTTTGAGTCTCTAGACAGTTGCAGCTGATCAATATGATTCCGAATATACTTCAGGGAAAAGCGAAAATCGTTGAAATTGAAGTCGTATGGTTTAGACCAACCAAATAAATCATACTGCTGACGCTTCACGATGGTGTAATGTAAAAGACTTAGTGCATGTAATATTTTATTCCATTCACAGCCGCCACACTTGTCTAAGCTGTTCTCCTTAATCTGCTTATATGTGCTTAATAGAGCAGTGCGTAAACCGTCCTCTGACAGTGGATCACTTGTATACTTGAGAGACATTTGTAGCAATAGTGGTGGAAACTCTTCGTGTATCTCACTGGTGAGCCACAAACGAAATAATTTGTTCAGTTCTTTTCCATTTTGATTTGTTATTTTTAAATCATGCGAAGTAGCATTTTTATCCGATGCTGTAAACGACAGTGAGCTAAATAAACAGATAAGATTATTCATATATTTCAGATTGAGATGGCAGTTTTGTAACAAGACCCAGTCACCCGAAAGCAGAGCCTCGTCTATAATATGCTGTATCTCTGAAATCCGATCATTGCCCAATGGTATTACATGCAGTTTAGCATTCATAGAAGCAGCTAACTGTTTAATCCCCGAAGTTGCATCTCCAGTTGACTGTAGTATATTTAGCAATGGAGTTGTGCATGTTGATTGCTGGTATATCCTGTTTAAAAAGTAGAATATAACTAAGTTAAACTACTGTATGGCTAATCTCACCATTGTCCTTTTACGTCAATCTATTACAGTCTTAAGAACTAAAAGGAGGTAGTGAAAATATTATTATAAATGTGACATGCTGAAACTTGGAAATGTTTAGTCACTCGATAAATTTTAAACGGAGAAATGAAAAGATGAACGTTAACTTAAATATTATCCATTGGAAAGTTTGTAGTTGGACGAATAATGTATTCGCATGCAAAATGAAGAGAGACGAGTTAAGTTGTCAAAGCAGTGAGACAGTCAAAACAACAAAAGCTAGTCAGAAATGTGAAATATTGGATTATTCATATGAGATAATAATACCTGGGTATGTTTTTGTCAGTAGAACTTAGTATTAAAAAATGGATCCACATTTACAAAGTGAATGGTCTATGAAGTACATCTACTACTGAATGTTTTTCATACAGACAGTTTTTACATTAGTTCTGTGTGTCCAGTATATTCTCTAATAGATGAAACTAAATGTCCGACATTTGCTTCAGTTTATTACAAGTGTGTTTGTTATTGGTGTTGGCACATATTCCGATAATTGGAACGATTATGGGTAGTGATTTTCCCAGGAAATATTAACAAAAACTAAAGTTCTCATTGTGTTTAAACTCTTGTTTTGATAAATTAATTCACTGAACTGTACGCAAACCTTCCTGTTATTTGTATCTACTTTATTTATAGCGGTCAGTTGTCTTGTAAATGCCCGGCCTCACGTTTTACAAACGCCATGCATATCTGTGTAGGTATGTACACGAAAATTGAGGCGTTTATACTAGACAAGTCGTTTCTTGAAATCCTAATGTTGGTAAAAATTAATTGGTTAAGAAATAAACGGTATATAAATTTGCAGGCTATCAGTTTTACTGATAAAGTGGCAAAAATTGTTAGTGCATGGAATCAATCAATTTGATTTAAAGAGCAAGACAACTAATAGATTATACTCTTATAGAAATAATCATGACTACAGCAAATAAAAATATCTTTCGATCTTACTCATTTACACTGAAAACTATATCTTCAGTAAACTCAGTTCCAAGAACGTTTGCAATAAAGTGTTTTGATGCAGCATGCAGACGATCTGGTCGCCAACAACGTATTAACAACAGTCGGTGAACTGGACGCAAGTTCGACTCTGAAAATCCAGGTATTGGATGATCCTCTGGATATTGTGTATTAAACCATTTGTACCACTGTCGTTCTGAGCAAGCAACCTGAATAGGCAAACAATTAAACAAACTTTGTTCGTATACATCTAAAGTTTCATAAAAAGAACCGGTACGTCTTGCGTTAAGTTTGTCAGCAGATACACACTGTACACAACTATGAAAATCTATTCAATATAAATCTGCAACACCTTCAAGCTTAAAATTATTCGAATCCACAGTCCAATTTCCATCGGCTGCTCATCGGAGACCAGGTCTAATTGATGTGAAGTAGTAAATAGTGGTCACCACAGAATCGGGTATGACGAAAAATACTTACTGACATTGGATGATACACATTACTGCTAGGAAGTAGAAACAGTTTAGCAAGTGAATATAAATGAGTAACTGAAAGGACAAAAATCTCACCGATTAATAAAAATGTCCTGGTTTCAATCCATGCAAACTACTGAGCCATCGCAAACTAAGACCTCATGACATTTAATACTTTTTACCCAATATCTGTTTTTCCAAATAAAAATAACTTTACTGAATTCGAATCCTTCGTCAATGATATCTAAACAAAGCCTGAAATATTAATTATGAGTCAACATAGCCAGTTCGTGTGTAGCTTACTTTCTGTTTATACATATCAGAAATTGAGACTGTCCTGTGTGTTGTTTGCAATGATGAGGACTGCTGTGGATACCTGAGTTACCTCGAGTCAACTGAGCGTTACAGGTGCCTATAACGAACATAAATCGGAAGGAAATTAATTTCATGTAATCGCTAATCAACAATAGTGAAACCATAATAAACCAAATTATTCATCACGATGAAAGTGATTACCAAGATTTTACTGGAATCTTATTTACAAAGAATAGCGTCATGCAAAACACTTGTATAAGTAAAAACATTTCTTCAAGAAATAAATGCAATTAATTTACTGAATAGGTATCCCAATATTCTTAAAGAAACTACTCCCAGCTCAGTTTTTAGTAATAGGCATATTCCAACAATTATTGGTGGATAAATTATTTTCTTCTAAATTGAGAAAAGGATTACTACTGTTAAAATGCACAAAAACACCATATAGTCTTAAAAACAGAAATAATTATTTTTAATCATTTAACATCTTTACAGCCCCATCCCATCATTTTCATGCGTTGTCATTATTTCGTTTGGTTGATGATGATGATAAGAATCACCTTAGAACAGATTTTTATGTGATTCATATGAAAGAACGTTACTTCCCTTATATCACAAAGATAGTGTGTAGCAACTGAAGGCATATAAGCAACTACAATATAAAATGCCATTGTGTTTTCCAAGGATAACAGTTAAAGCTTGATTACTTACCCGCCGCAAAATGTCTTTAAAGACAGACAACTTAGAAAGATTTATTAAATTAATCCAGATAGCCTGTGGTATCCATTCAATATCTTTTGATGGAAAGTCTCCTGCGCATAATAGTGACCCAGCCTTTAAAAGTGTATGTACCTCGTTTGTTTCAATATGTTTCAGATGAATTTGTAGACGAAGAGCTAATAGAAATGTAAAGATTATTCGATCCTTTTTAAATAAACTCTGCAGTGTAAAACGCCATACCGTTGAAGTCATTTTCTGCATAACTGCTTTCATTTTGTTTTCGCCATTATTTTCTGTGCTTTGACCATCTAAAGACTGAAGAACACTTTTAAGTAAGGTAATAAACTGTCCAACACCAAAATGATACATTTCATTGAGAAGTGCTAAATCCAATAAAAGGAAAAATAATAATGATCCGTGACAAGCAATGGATCTGAACACTTCATAATTTTTCTCAATCTCTTCTTTTGTTTTCGTCATCTGATCCAATTGTTTCTCATAGATTTCAATAGATTTTTTGATTTCATTGAATACATTCATTGGATTCAAATATGTGTGTAGTGAATCTTCATCTGAGGAGAACTGATACATTAATGTTGTAAATAGTTCTTGTTTTTTCCTTTTATGTTCATATATAGTATGCATCAAGTCGGAATAAGTGGGTTGCTGTTCCTATGTTCATTAATAATGGTTAAAAACAAGTAAAAACAAACAAGTCAAATGTTAAATGACTTTCATATTTTTAAATTAAGCTCTTGTGTTATTATACGCAACACCAACAAAAAGCTTTAATACTTTTAGGTTCGTTAAATTAACTAACTGGATAATTTATTAACTGGTAATTTCAAAAAATGCCTTGAAATAATTTTCATGGGTTAGCATATAAAAAATACATATATATATATATATGTAACTTCAACTCTGGGGTAAAACTATGTTTCCAGTCATGTGGCTTATTTTTCCACATAATTCAGGATGGATAGACTCATGTTTCTAAATAATTTATCTGTTCACAAATTCAAAGACAGAAAAAATGTGATCAACTTTTTTGAATAAAAGAACGATGGATCTGTCGGCTATTTTTACTCTAAAAGCAACAGGTACAAGCAAATATCTTTCTAGGAGAAATTACTTTCCCTTCAAACACTAATTCCATAGGATCTTGACTGAATCCTTTCGAGAAGTATTTCCAGACGTGATAGTCAAAACAAACAACACCTATTAGTATGAAGGTGAAATATGTTTTCATTCAGAGTCAGCGTTTTTTTTTTGAAAATGACAACTTGAACTAAGCAAACTCGAAAGATCATATATCATATTTTATTTTATTTCAGAAACAATTCGTTTGAAACTAGCTAACTATTCTTAGCGAAATAAACGAAAGGTTAATAGTTGTTCATAAGGTGACAACTGTCAAAGATTATTTTGGATTAAAAGCTTTTACGCTATAATTACAAGATCGATGCTACAAACCACGATTAGGAATATCTCAGAGCAATGAGACACTGAGACACAGTTAATAAAATGTAAGAAAACATGAAAAAATGCACCATTTATTTACGTGAAGTTTGCTATCAAGCCGAATAAAACTGTTCTAAACACCGATCAAAAGCACTCATTATGTATGCAACAATGATGGTTATTTGGAGCATTGTCATTTGCAAAACTGTTTTGAGTTGTATTCGCGTGCCAATTAACCCAGATATCTCTACTCACATATGCCATCTTTGTATAAAACAGCTTTGTTTTTTAAACAAACAAATTCCGTATCATATAACATTTGGCTTGTTATTTCCTTAACTAATATGGACATATAGATCTGTCAGAAACAGTGTTATCTTTCCAACAGTTAGTGTTTTAATTCATACTGAGAATTTTCGAAAAGTTAAACATGGAAAATAGTTGTTTGACTGTATTTTAACATATGAAGGGCATAAAACATTTAAGTTTGAACCAAACAGATATAAATCAAATATGCTTTTCGTACCTTGCATCCAAATTCAATAATTTGATTCATCAGATACTGTTCAAATGATTTATCATCATACGAGAAGTCGATAACAGTCAAACTGGCTATTACTTGTTTTCCCAATGAAACATTCCTTAGTGGAGTAGTAAGAATTAATCTGAACTTTGGGTGTACCAAAATCTCTTCATCGTCAATTTTAATCTAGAATCAGAAGTCAAGAAATATTTTCCAACTGATTCACAAAACACTTTCACTGTATAATACTCAGTCTAACAATAGCAAAAGATTCAAGTGTTGGTTTGTAGCAAAAGAAATTGTCTAAACATGCAGACTCCCGGGTTGGGGCCCTCGGGACTCTAGGAATCAATGGCTGGAGACAATAGGTGACATGGCTCAAAATCGTTGTCAATGGCGCAGATGTATTCAATCTCTGTAATCTTTCATATTCCTTTCTACCATTACCCATTCTGTTTCACTCCTATATTTGTCAAACTCTATTAATTCTCTCCACTCATCTTCTTGTCTACCTCTGTGTGCTATTTGGAACGTGGCAACTCGAACTGCTGCACTTCGGTGCCAAGTTCTATGTTGAATCCAGACAGACATATTGCTTATTGGTAATTGAATACTTTTTTCTACTTGAAAAAATAGTTAAGTGATTGATGATTATGATAAGCTGAAGGTAAATAATCTGTTTGTTGCGTACTGAAATACGCATGCTTCATTGTGAACTGCAAGCTGATTGGTGACCCAGAATACTACAGATTACCTCACTGTCAAATGAGGTAATTTATTTATCGTATGTCTAGTGAACTATAGCTTTCAAAATTAATAAAAAAAAAACTGTGAATATTCAAAGTCAGCTTTTGTTTTTCCCAAAACTCTTCATTAAACGGGTCAGCATAAACATTAAACTAAAGAGACTAGTTTGTTACATACTCTTAAAAACAAATGCGACAGGCCAACAGCTTACCTTACGATACTTACAGCTGTTGTATATTTTCAAACAGCTTTAATTACCTATATAAGAATAAGTTTACCTGATATAATACAAAGTGATGCAGAATTATTCACTTACTGATTATATTTTGAGCACATATATATATGGCGTCGATCGCGCAGCGGTAGAGTGCTTTCCGACCACACGGGTGGTCCGGAGTTCGATCCCCGACCACGGACGCACTCCTTCACCTCGCTGGGCCTGAAATAATGCTGGTAAAGAGGAAAGGTTGGACATGAGGCTAGCAACCCCATCCTGTAAAAATAATCACTACTGCTACAGAAACCTCAAGACTCTAGCTTGAAGCCCTATGTTCCACTGGAAACGTAAAAGGAAAAACTTATATATATGTATATATGAATGTCATGATATAATTATGAACAATATATTGTTTACGAAAAATTACCAACAAATAAATATTGTTGTACCAATGAGGCTTTTTAGTTGACGGCAAACGACAGGATTATGAGTGAACCAGTAGTTGGAGACAATTGCGCTAATGTCTTTAAATAGCCTAGCAACCAATCTTAGAGTATTTTACCTTCATTTAGTTGTTTGCAGGCGTGCCAACAAATAATTAGTGAGCGCGGTTGGTTTTGTTAACATTTGTGACACTTCTCTGAGTCCGTTAATTTAGGATGCCACTTATTCGTTTACATGTTATTCTTAAGGTAGCAGTATTTCTACTCTTCACAGTTTTCACCTAGTTGGGTGTATTTGTGTTTGAATTGGTCTACTAATTTATCTCCCTGATTATTATCTCAGTTATCACCATCACTAATATTGGCACCTAATCGTACATACTAATATTTAGTAACTGTTTTCATTGTAACAAGATTAAACTGGGATTTTACACATTCAACTGTTTTCCTTCTATTTGTAAGATGTGATTATGACCCTTAGGTATGGTCTGAATGCTTACGACTCTGAAGAAACGTTTCAAGGGTATAGGCTTAAAAGAAAACTAAATTTCATGAAACAATTACTGACCTTGTCAACATAACCTCTGTGTATATCATTACTATCGATTAGAAGCGTCAACAGTGGATCCAGAGAACTAGTAATATTTTTAATGTACAGCGTGCAGCCATTGTTGAGAGAGTCCTTCAGAATGCTTCGAAACGTCAGTTCATCAAGTGTTGTAGTCTAATTATTACATAATTAAAAAAAATTCAGAAATTAAGTTTAATAGGGATTTGAATAATTTCAAAGTAGACTTCACTATGAACCGATGAGTCAATGGATTTCAATCCAGTGGGTGGATGATACGGTTATTCATAAAATCTACACGGATCGTATTTAAAAGGACGAAATCATAATACCACAAAATCGATGTCTAAGACTATTTGATTCATCTGGAAGCTTTCTGAACAGTGAATAAATAAAATCTATCTTAATATGCCATGGTCTTATGGTTCATTATTTGAATCAAAAATGTTTGTCTACAAGTCTGCATTAGCGCTGCTGTTCACAAAAGAGTCCTCCTGGATAAAATAACAAAAAAAGCTCACATGATTTCTGCAGTATCTTAATCTCATTCTCTACTAACACGTAGTTGTAGATAATATTGTGCACGAATGCATCAGCTGTCAAATCTGTTCACATGAATATGAACACCTGGCGATTTCAAATAAGAGCATGTAACTTTTTTTCAGTGCTGTTCCCACAATATAGAAAATATGCGATCAAGCATAAGAAAGAATGTTGAAGAATATACTAGTCGATTTAGCTTACTGACGGAGAGTGATTTCGTACAGAGAAAGTCAGGCGATTATATAGCATATCCCATTTTCGAAGTATCTGCAACATTATCTCATGTGTATTACGGCATTTCAATAGACAGGCGTGAAGCTAGCGACCCTATCCCACAAAAGCAGTCAAACTGCCACAGAAACACCAACGCACAGGAAAAACTTTAGAAATACAAAACTTGAGAAACAAACTCGTTTCCCTCTGGAATCGGAGAGGTGAAATGAATCAGGCTGGTCAAAGCCTTCGGAAAGCCAGTCAACCGATTTGTCTTCGTCCTATGAATGAAAACATAAAAATGGAGACGCTGAATATTCGTACAATGTATTGAACTGGGAATGCGGACCCGGTAGCCAAAGAAATGCGAAGATATAGTATAGAAGTGCTTCAAATCTGTGAGAGCAGGTGGAATGGATGTTGAATGTCGAAACTGTCAAGTGGAGAGTCAGTAATCTACTCCGGTCTGGTCACCCAGGCGACAACTACAAGCACACTCAGGCAGTCAGGATCTACCATGATATCACCAACAGCAGTCAAATATCTTATGCAGTGGAAACCAATCTCACCCTGTAGGATTATGACAGCAAGATGGTATTCAAAAGGAAGGGAGGAAGGAAGGAAGTAAGGTTGCAATCATCCACTGGTACGCACAGTGCTACAAACAACGTGGAACAAGAGAAGAAGGAAGATTTCTACGGACAACTGCAAACCGAAATGGACAATATCCCGAATGGAGATATCCAAATCATTATGGGTGATATGAATGTAAGCTGAACTGGGAGCAGACAATACGGGGAGGGAAGTCAATTTAGGGTCGATAGGCTCTCGGAGAATCAGTAGATGATAACGGAGGACTCTTCTCATACTTCTGCGCCTCAGGGATTCAGTGATCGGATGCAGCATGTACGAGCACAAGGACAGACACAAATGACATGGATTCCGCCTGATAGACACACCACAAACAATATCAGCGGTCTGCTTAAACCTTGGGCCACCAAAAATTACCCATCAGTTATATTGCATGTGATTACTTGCATTTTTGTTTTAATTATTCAGTTATGTGTCCAAATCGTATTATTTACTCTCGGCATCATTTAAAATATTTACAACTTGCTGATTTACAAGTTCCTCATGGTGGGTGTCAACAATCCTTAAAGTCTACTTCAATGCATCGGATGACTGTTACTGTGATTGTGAGCACATATTGCAGGTCATTATCGAACAAGGATATTTACTTGAATGCTCTATCATGTTCAAACATTTACCGTAATTCTGGTGTAGTGACGCTCCGAGAAACTTGTTTCCACAATTCGCGTGATTATATTTCAATCTGTCTAAATGATTTCAATATGTACGGAAAAGATCGAAGCAGTTCAAGGAAAAATCGAGGTGGTGGTTTTGCTACTTTTATCAATTCTCAGTGATCTGTTGCCAAAAACGTCTGCTTTAAATTCTCACGGGATAACATTGCTGTATAACTGCTAAATGTCGACCTAAACACCTGTCTAAGTACAAGTTCATTTTTATCAGAAACATTTTTTAATCAGTGTAATAAAAGTGATATGGTTACCAAGCGAGTGAGAGATTGACCACACTCTCTTTCTGTATGCATAAGTTTGGTCTGTGACGTTTGAGGCCTCTAACGATCCCAAACAGTTCGCCTACAAGCACAGTAGAAGTACTTTGGATGCAGCTGCAGTCTCGAATCATAACATTGTCTCCAGTTTAGACAAAGGGGCAAAATTTGTTCGCTGCGCCTTCCTAGATTACACATCTGCTTTCGACTCAGTACCTAGGGACATTTTGTTAAACAAACTTTCTGAAACTGAAACTGACGGTAGGGTGGCAAATGGTTGCATTCTTATTTCTCAGGAAGAAAGCAGTACACTGTATGTCAGGGAGAGTCGTCCACTTCATTGCTTATTGAAGCCGGTGTTCCTTAGGGCGCTGTCCTTTCTCCTTTTCTGTTTCCTTTCTTCTTGCATGACTTGCCTCACTCTGATGGAATGAACTTTGTTAAGCATGCTGATGATCTAAATATTTCCATGTCTGTTAACTCTCAGCTTGACTGCACTAAGATGAACAGCTTTATATCAGGAGTTAGCAAATGGTCTTCGTCTAAGGATCTTAAACTGAATCCTTCCAAGTGTCAGACCGTTAATTTCAGTTTCCGGTGTAAAAGAAAGTTAAATGAAGCTAATAATTCTAATAAACAATTGCAAATTCTAATAACCGTTGCAAAATTGGCGATAGTGAAATAGAAATGAAGTCTGAAGCTAAGTATCTTGGATTAATTCTTTCTTCTGATCTATCCTGGTCTTTCTATGTCTTAGCGATTTCTAAAAGAATATTGCGTCTGACTTTTTACATTAAGAAGTTGAGGCACTCAGGCATAACCCAACCACTCCTTTTACAGTTTGTCAACTCTTGCATCTTACCTATTTTTCTCTATTGTTCACCCCTATTCTTTCCTGGATTGCTTAAAAACTTCGTAGGACTCTGAAGACTGTCAATAGGGCCAGTGGTATTCCACTGGGCCATATCTTTGACATCGCCATTGATAGGCACTTGATTTCATGCAATAAATTTGTTAAAGGAATTTTGTCAGACTGTGAGCATCCACTTTACCAGCAGCTTTCACCTTGTGTCTCTTCAGGTAAAACAAGAAGTCATTTCAAAAGACTTTATTCACGTGCGTTTAATTATAAAAATTCCTTTATACTATACTTGGCACGTATTTTATGTTATGAAAATAATGTCAGGGACGAACTAACTAACTTCCTTTGCACTTGTAAATAAACCATACTTATTCGACCAAGCTTTATTGTCATTGTCCTTTTTATATTTATAGTGCTCTCATTTCGTTTGTTTACCTTTTCATAAGTGTAAACATCATTCAAGCTCTTTAATGATTGTTATTTTCTGTTTTTCCCCTCACTGTGCTATGTGATGAGATTCAGTACTCCATAACACGCCGAAATGTTCATTCTTTATCAACAATACTGTTTGAAATAAATCCAATGTTATTATTAGCATTATTATTATAGTTAATACTCTCATTTTATACTTCGCACATTTTTGTTGTTATTCCTACTGTGAATATGGACAAGTTCCTTTGGTTAGATTTATTTATATTTTGAGTAAATGAGATGCAATATTGTGGCAAAGCTGAGAATTCCATTATGAATTATAAACACTGTTTTTGGAACAAAGTAGATTATTATTATTTTAAAAAAGTAGACTTCATCTCAGTGCTGCTTAAAGAAGTGAAGACACAGCTAGTCTGCTGGATATAAAGTTGAGAAGGGGAACAAACGTGACCTCAGATAATCGTCTAGTTCAAGGAATCTTCAAGATGAAGTTGAAAGCCTTTAGAACAACTGCAGACCGACCACAATTCAAGTTCAACATTCAGAAACTGAAGGGCAAAACTACGATTGATACCTTCACTGCAGATATCAGAGCAAAGTCGGAAACATAGCGTGTTATCATCGAGGAAACCTGTGTGGAAGAACATTGGAACTCTCTGAAGGCGATATTCACGGAAACGTGTACAACTGTTCCAGGAAGAAGGAAGAGACAAGAAAAGGAATGGCTCTCAACGGATACGTGTGGACTAATAGAAGAGAGGAAAATGGTGAAACAGAAGATGAACCAGTGTAAAGATTTGCAACAAATGGAGAAGCTGAGTTCAATGTACACTACACTGAACAAAGAATTGAAGAAAATTCTTAAGAAACACTACAGTCAATTCTACGACGCACTGGCTCGCAAATGAAGTAGAACAGGCAGTACACAGGTAAAAGAGTTCAGAACATTATATCAGGTAAACAGGATTCTATCCGGAAAGAGATCCATGCATGCGAAATCTATAAAGATGGTCAAGGGAACCTTATTGCCAAGGAGGAGAACCATATTTAACAATGGGTTGATCATTTCAAAAGACTCTTGAATCGACCGTCATCACCTGCAGCTCTCCCAGAAGTACCACCAAAAGTACGCACAGAACTGCCTGTCAATAGACACCAATCCATCAATAAAAGCTGATATCTTGAATGCAATGAAGATAATGAAAGCCTACTGGAAAGGCATCAAGACCAGACGGAAGTCTTCTGAGGCATTGGGAAAGACTCAAAGATTGTGGTAGATATGCTAACGTCATTATTGAAGAAGTTTTGCAAGGAAAAGTGCCTACTGATTAAAAGAATGGCTACTTTGTACGCGAAAACCAACACACTGGTTGAAGAAGAAGGCTGTGAAGATAAGAATCCAAGTGAAAGTGGGGAAAAACTGGGTTGATGAAGATAAACAACTAAGAGCAACAACAACAACCAGCACCAAACGGCGTTAAAGGGAGAAGTTTGACAGAGTTTAACCCTTTCGCTCATCCAGGAAGCATCGTTTCAACTACAGGGATACGATATGAATGAGGGTTACAAAGGCAGAATGGAAAAGGCGAGATGCATCTTCATCAATCTGAAATCATTTTGAAAATCTTCTGCTTCACTCAGACTGCATAAGGAACAAGATTCGGATTTTTAGAACAAATGTGAAGTAACTCAGCTCTTCTGTATGTGTGAGAAACGTGGCAGGCGCATCACGGAAAGCATTCTCAACAGGTTATCACAGACTTTTATCAACAGCGGCTGGCTCCATACAGGAGATCAAATGGCAGGCCAGAAAGAGTAAGGAACAAAAAAGTATGAGAAAAAACTAACTTAGTAGGTATCGCTAAACAAATATACAGGAGAAAATGGAGATTGATTAGGCACACACTCAGGAGACCGTTGAATGACATCGTCCGGCAGAGCATTTCTTGACTGAAATGAGAATGGGAAACGACGACCAGTTCATTCTAGGGTGACATGGAGAAGGTCCTGCGATCAAGAGATTAAAGGCCACAGCAAAGAGGACGGTAGAAAATAGAACAGAGTGGTGATGTTTTGTTGAAGCCCTATGTTCCACTCGGAACTCAAGGGAAAAATAATAATAATAGATATGCCAAAATACGCCAGTATGATTTCATAAAAATTCAGTAATATACATTTAACTCTTGAACCTAATGACTCCTTTAATTGGTTATATTGCGTAGATATCAGCATCAAACAACATTTCCTGATAAAAGTTCAGAAAATATAATGCAGTTCAAGAATACAATAATACCGATATTATGTATACGGGACAAAACTTTTCAAAAGAAATTTCATTGAAAAAGCACACAGAAAACATGACCTTTCATTAAAACACCTTAGCAACGGACTATAAAGCTACAGTTTGCTGGGTTGTGCAATAAAGCCACTCTAGAAAGTCTCTCTGTCTGCTTATTTTAGTGGTTTACGATAGTTTATTGATTCTCTTTTAGTCGTGGATTGCGGAGGAGAAACTATCAGCAACTGAAAACTTTATGTCGCGGTTAATATTTTCTTGACTAATGGCATTTTAATTCAGGCATACTCTGATGCACATATCTGTTTAACTGAACGTGAAATGTAACCAATATACCGGAACAACCAAACTACACAGTTCAAGTAAGCACAACACAAAGATCATTGTAATCTACGGTGACTCTAAAATAAAGCAGAATTTTAGTCCTACTCGAATTTCCTGTAATGCTGTAAAATAAATAAATTTTTATTTCTTTCAGTTGAAGAGAAATGGAACATTTTTAAACAAAAAATTGTGTAGACGTCTATAGCTAGTTGATTATATTTATTAGTGAATGGAATAGAAAATGTAGACTTTCCTGTTTGATATTCGTTTACCTACCGACAAAGCATTACGATGAACTGTACTGATCCACTGAAAGCATTGTTCATGTGGATCGATAACCAGAGGAATACGCTCCGACAAGACGAAAATAATAGCATTTTGAATAGACACATCATCCATAACCAGTCCTTCTAATATCGATTCGTCCACCTAAGTATTTAAAAGTAAATGCAACTTTTTAAATTCATGTACATCGAAAATTAAAAGCATAAATAGTTATTCACAAATAAACAACTTTATGTATAACAGAAATGAAAACTGAGTTCAGGTGTGCAAATTATTTTTACATCAAAATTCATAAGTTTGTTGTCAATGTATTTGTATATCAGCTTATCGAATAATTATTTACCAGCTAACGGATAATGCATGTAGAAGTTTTAACCTTTATGCAGAAACGGTAGACTCTAAGCTAATAAGGCCTTTTTGTCTGAACAGTTTTCACGTATTCTTTTTAATTCACAGCCCATAAATGCAATTTGTTTTTATGCTATTTCTGACTTATTTGATAACTTTACGTCAAGTAGTATTAACTCTCGCTTAGGTAAGAACTCTTCCTTAAAGTCCTCTGAGTATCGTCTGTGACATCCATTTGAGAAATTTCGTTTTCAGAACGCGTGGAAAAACAATGAAGATTATTATTATAGTTATAAGATTGTTATTTATATGGTTTAACATTCTGTGAATAGGTGTGAAGTAAAAGTCTTAAATTTAGAATATAAAACATAAGAAATACTTTCTACTTACTGAAATGCTATTCATAAAGGTAGAAATAATGTTTAAATTGTTCTGGTGTGGTATTCTGTATTTAAGAAGAATATAGCTCCAAGTGTTGAGTAATTTGCTTCTGTGCTCTCGATTAAAAGGCCCACAGTAAACAAGAAAAGCTGCAAGGTAGAGTGAGTCACCCAATAAGTGAATGATTTGCTGCTTTAAGTTTTCAATTTGACTACTCCACTTTATCCCATCTTCACTAAAATCCTCTGTAAACTGATGGTACATTGAAATTCTGTTTGAAAGGCGTTGAGACTCTTGCTCTAAACTCAACTTTCTTCTAAATAAAGTTTCATATTTTTCTTGTAGGGCGTTGGCTAGTTCCATATTGTCCTGCAAAACTGTATCAGCATACAACTTCTTTCTTTTAATAGCAAAATATGTCCTTTTTAAGTCAGATATGTTTTCTTCTAATGGAATAATTTGTTTCTTGGCAAGCGAGAAATATTCACAAACAATCAAAACCCATGTAAGCAATCCAGATAAGCTTCCGCAGATTTTTCTAAGCGTTACAGTATTAAAATCGTCTTCCAATATATAAGCTTCCAGTAGATCGAAATGTTCCTGGTTTAATCTTCTCAGTGGATAATCTCTTAATAGATTTAGGAAATTCGGCTTCATTATGAGCTTTTTTGAACGTTTCCATGAATTCGGCATAAAGATTCCACGCTGTTTATCAACGCGAATTTTATCTAACGGATAGTTTAGTAGTATTAATAGACAGTCCATAACTCGCATAAGTAAGTTTGGAGGTCCTTGGGATTTACGCAGTAGTCTGATGTCTGTGTATCGAATGTTTTTAAGAGAGTTGTTTAACCGTGTTAGCACAGGTGTGACACAGTTTTCTTGAATGGCTTTTGCTTTTTGTTGTTCTCTGATAGTCTGCTTTATTTCTCTTAACTGAGTATTTACCTCATCTGAACGATGGTGTGCATTTTCGACAGTTTGCTTCTGCTTTATTAAAACCTCATACAACTCACTGATCTGTTTTTCTACTGTATGGATTTGGTTTTTGTTGTTCGTCAAAGTTACTTTAAGATCGTTAACACTAGATTTAATATTGTTAATCTTTTGCAAACTTTTGCCCAAGTGATTATTTTGTTTCATGATTTCGCTGTGTCGCATAGAATGTACCTAAATATTAAGGGAAGAAATGTAAAAAGTTAGCTGTCTTTACACTTAAAAAACTAAGCAAATATTAAACTGAGTGAAAATTTTCAGAAGTAGATAAGTTTTCATTTTTCGGAACCCTAGTGAAATCGCAAAACTAACCAGATGAACAACTATATCCCAGAGAAATGGTCTTTATTTACTTTACATAAAGTAATAAATTACGAACAACCTGTAAGGGACTGAAAGTAGTTAGAAAACCCTAGTAGCAGAATAACAATGCTACTGATCATGAGAAATGTATCACTACATTTTTGGCGTTATTATACATATATATTCTTATTCAGTAGATTTAGATGAATGACTAAGGGCAAAAACACAAACACCATACCATATCCTCAATGCCTTTCATTAAAACTGTAAGTAAATCAACTTATCAGAGAAGCAGTTTCACATGAACAAGAATGGCATATAATCTTCATTCACTGGCATTTATATTTTTATAAAACACAACATAATCGAGCTTCGAGCAAAGAATATTCTTTTCAATAAATTCCTCTTCAGGCTCTACAATTATATACATGTTTATATACACAGAATATTCAAGGTTGGTAGTTAATAACAATATTAGTGTTTTTTAAATAATATCGATTTGTAAAGCAAGATCAATGCAATTACAGTTCACTAAAGATACTTAAATTATAATAGTAATAAAGATATAATAGCGAGTAGGATATCAACTAAAATTAGGAAATTTTCACGAAAATTGAGAATCATTCAAACCTAGATGGCCAAGGTAGGGACAGCGTCTGAACTAACTTCTTTTGGACGCACAAATTAGGCTTTTTAATGTGGATCCCAACAGCCTCAGCAATATTTAGTAATCGAACTCTTAAGGCGAAGTTGAGATTTGTTGGTATCCGATAAATAACTTTGAAAGCTTGATTAACATCAATCCTATGTTCTGTATCCATCTGTGTATATAAACATGTATATAATTGTAGAGCCAGAAGAGGAATTTATTGAAAAGAATATTCTTTGCTCGAAGCTCGATTATGTTGTGTTTTATAGATATCTGAATGAATATTTTTGCTATATTTATATTTTTATTCATAATATAGCATGACAACTATGTGAATGTATTCTTAGCGAAAAAAGGCCTTTTTGTGCAAAATGAACGTTCGCTCGTCTAACTGATTAACGGCTTGAACATTATTACTGTTTGTAAACAGTCATACTATTTCATAATAAATCAAGATATGAACGTTTTACCACTGTGGTTTACCTATCGTGTTAACTTTAGTACAGCGACCCTTTTTTATCAAATTAAATTGATCTTATTTACCGAATATATGATTTCTGTGGTTTTGTTATTCTTTTACTAATAGTAGATATTATTCTAAATTTTTTTTCATGATTTTTCTGATCTTTTACTGAGTTTTAGACAGAGAAATAAATAGCCATTAATTCACCTTAAATCCTTTCAATGAAGTGCGTAGGTGCAAAAGATAGTGGACTGTGCTGAACGAATGCTTCAACGACAAACCCTAAAAACGAAGCTAATTGTAGCGGTACAGTCTTTTATTATGTTCACATAATGATATAAGCAATATATTGTCTAGATATTCGACTTATTTGGCTGGCTCAAGAGTTCTTGCTATTCTGTACCGGTAAATGTTGCTCTATAGTAATGTCTAGGCTTCAGAATTCAAAGATAAACACAACACCTCCCACAACATCTCAACTGATTCTTTCAAAGTAATTTACAAAGTTAACAGAAACCTACCAAAAGCAGTATGTTTCTGACTTCCCTGTACTGCAGAAGCCCTCACAATATGCATCGAGAAACCAGAGCTGTGTGTTCAAAAGAAATTAGTCCAACCTCTACAACTACCATGGACCTAGTTCGGTATGTTCCCTCAGATTCCGTTTTTGTTTTTCCTCTCGTTCTCTTTTTTCTTTTTGATCTTTTATCGTTCGCCGTGTGTGTGTGATTCTTATTCCCTCAGACTTCATTCGATTCACCCCAGTTTTTCAGTTATATAAACAGTTATTTTAAGGTTATTTCCATGCTTTTCATGTTCACATTTATAATTCATTTAAAAATTAACTATTTTACAGTTATATCTTAATCATGTGCAATTTTTGTGTTTCTAAGGCTCTTGTAATCTATATTCACACCTCCTAACTTCCATTTCAGGTTAAAATTATTATTTCAGTTTTGTTTCCATGCTCATTTTTACACACTTGATATCCGTCTTAATTCTGGGTAATTTTGTTTCCAAGCCTGTCGTAAAAACCATATCTAGTTGAAAATAATTATCACCTTTTATTCACCGTCCTAATTATGTGGAATTGAACAAGAATTGTATCCATTTAAAATTATGTATTTAAATGCGATTGTACAGCTTCTGAAAATGAAATCGCCGAAAAGATATCTTTGCTGAACTTCGTGTTCTCTTCTTTCTAACATAAAATTGCATTTACATTATTGATTGCCTTTATATATCTCCTGTTTTACCGGGAACTCATCGTTTTTTACTTAAATTCCAGTAACACTTACTCAAACTGCGGATATATTCAAGCAGTGCCATATCGTCGCCCATGCTGAACTATCTGCACTTTTGGGAAGTTACCTAACTATAGTAGATCTGTGAAGTGTTTACACAATGCCTACACGTATTTCACTGTCCAAATGGACTTAAACTATTTAAACACCAGTAGTAGCCTATTATTCACTGTTTAAGTAATATATTGATATTACGCCAAAAATTTCATTCTAGTATTGAATAATACTAGGGAGGATGTTGAAAATGAGGTGTTGGATTTATTAAAAAAGATATAAGGTGTAACGAAATTTTCAACAAATCTTTAAGCAAGTGATTAAAAACATTAATAATTGTAGACAAGAAACAACAACAATGGCGGACAAGTAGTGTGTAGTGCTGCATTTTATGTCACTTACTCTTCTTATCTGCTCAAGATAAAATATGTATGACGCAGGGTAAAAGCAAACGCTTCTCTGAAAACAAATCCAGTAATCTAAGCAAAGCTTTGAAGCGCTCATATGCACATTCATAACAGCTTCAGCAACATTATCTTCAGATGAAAACTCACTGTTTTGAAACATGTGTTCTGCTATAGTCATGTATGCCTCCGGAGACCAGTCGTAGAACCAATCTATTGTGGTATACATTATCAATTTAGAAATATTTGGCAATCTGTGGATGGATTTATCTCTCTCAGAACAATAACAGAGAATAACGTGTAGGTGGTGTTTTACACTTGACTCATAGGATTTGTGTAATTCTCCGATTCGCTGTTCAATTTTATCATAAAAACCTGAGGAAATATTATTTTCATGACAAATAAACTCTTCCAGTTCAGCCCTTCCAATTAGATTAGGGATCTGTAATTAATAAGTTTAAAATATTTTATTCGAAACCGTGGTTTTATCAATAGGCTGAGCTAAATCACAGTTTACAAAATTTTACATTGAAGACTGAAAAATACTTAGTAAAGCCTAAAGCCCATGGAACATCAGTCTAATAGGAAATAGGCACATAACTAAGTATCTGAATGAATATTCACCTACTAGCGCGGGAATAATATTTATTGTTCTTATCTAACAATCACGTATTTAAACGACCAAGGTAAAGGGGAATAGAATTACCTAAGAATAAAATTAATCTTAACCACAAGAAGACATATGAAAACACAGCTAAATTTACACAGTTGGAAACATTTTTAAGCCACTTTTTTTAAGATCTACACACTATCCGACTGTGGAAACCAGTGGTTGAAGACTCTCTGGTCAAAACCATTCTCGACAATGCAGTTGTATCTACTCGTTATTCTGAAATCCTCACTAATCTTTACCTGATAATTTCCTCTCCAGTAGATCTTCATCGGCCGTCATTTTTACTACACTTTCTTTTTACTACTTCCAAATGTGTTTCATAGAAGTGCAACAACTTGAGCGAGTGTATTTTCGTGCAAAGTTCCACGACGGTCTGTTTGATGGTCACTCAAACAAACATACTATGTCAATGCATGAAGTCTACAGCCAAGCTATTCACCCCTCCATGAGTGTCATCACAGACCAATAATGAGTGATCAAACTAAGTATTACCCCTCCTTAGCGAACGAAATGGTACTGGGGCTGGACCTGCCTGTCAAGAATGGTGGTAACTTGGTATGCATAATATATCCCATAATGAACAAAGGATCATTATCCCATCAACTGGCTTTTTTCCTTTGTCCAACATTATCTTTAATCTAAGCATTGCATGCATTACATTTCGCGCGATTAGTGCATATCTTCATTAGCTACGGAGATTCCTTTGAAACGAGAACCTGCAGATGCTGGAACCATGTGCCCTACGCATCCGTTATAGACTTCATCAAGACTACCATATTTTCACGAAATTTTATTAGTGTTCATGTTATGTAAATCTTGATATGAAATGCAAACAAAAAAATGAAATAAACTTTTTAGATCTACACACAAAACGGAAGTAAGTGGGTGGCATTTAGAAAATTATTAACTACATATATATTTTTATAATTCTTGTCCCATCGTCTACCTAAGTTGTTAAGTAAGATTTATTTATAATGGCTGCACGGAATGCTGAAAGCGGTATGAATGCAGTAGGGTAGAGCAAAAACCGAAATGTGTATGACTTCAGATTAAAAAGTATAGATGAATGCAGGTAATAATTCAGAAGTAGTCTTACATCTATTCCCAGTACCTATAACTATATTCAGCAATCAACTGGTACACGTAGAGGCACTTACTTCGGAAGAACAAAGAAATGGATATTCTGCCGATCTTTAAAAACCAAATTCTTGTAACTGGTGCATTCATGTTCCACATAAGACACGAAATAGACATTTTTAATGCCTGTAATGGTCGACAAATAGGAGAATTCAGGTAATCTTAGCGTCTTGAAATCATAGGCATTGCATCAGTACAACTACTTCCGTGTTTTCACTAGCCAGCCTCTTACTATTGTTAAGGGTGAGTGATTTAAATCCAAAAACTGAAAGTCTCTAAATTTCCTCAGATTCAGTTTTGTACTATTTGTGATTCACTTTGATTGTGGACCATTATTATTATTACTGTCTATCTCTTTCATTTCTGATCTGTACATATCAATTCGCTGCCTAGTTAACTAACCAGAAAAGAAGGAAGATTAAGGCAAAAGGCGGACAATCTAACCCATGGACTAGCGCTTCCATCTTTACGGAAACTTAACAGAGCGTTGTAGTAAATACTTTATAAAAATTTAGCAAAGAAACTTCCGTTACAATTGCTGTTTTCTCATCACAGTTGTACATATTAAGCAATACTAAAAAGGCTTTCCTAATATCTACTATTTAAATTTATAAATGGAATTAAGTGCACCTCGTACACGAGGACCGATTTCTCCTTGAATTCAGGCTTTGTGATTCAGTCTGTTGTGAAAATTCATTCTGTTGGAAACGTTTGTGGATTACAAGTGCGTTTATATCGTTACAATTATTTCCTGAATATATAACCCCGCACACTGCAACCTAAATAAATTTTTAAAATAGCTTGCCTGAAAATTCATCATTTTTAACGGTCATTTGTTACACGTACCTGATACCTACTGACTATCGACAAACCTCTGTTTATGTAAACAGGATAAGTTATGGATGACGACATGCTGGCTAGAGCATCAATAAGTCATCCCATTTTACTGTGTGTAGTATCATAAGCATAATACTAGATGTTAGGAGTTAGTTGAAATATAGTTAGAGATATTTATTTAGAGTTACTTACAAATCCATTCTGTAGAACTGCACTGATTAATTCAGTCGGTGAGTCTTTGAATGTTTTACACTTATCATTAATTTTTGTATCATTCAGAATAGCATTGATTGCAAGAAGTAGGACAGTCCCAGTATTTTTTAAGCCAGCATTACGATGAGCAGCTTTCAATTTTTCAACAAAGTTTGGATACTTGAAATCACTGTGTTTAAGGAAGATAATGGATTTTCGTTATATGATTAATAACCGAAAGTTAGATAAATATATAGTTTAAATATCGTTTATAGATTCCTTTCATTAGAATGGAATCTAAGTAATGTAAAAATGTGTCTGTATGATTAAGCATGAAATTGATTTCATCTATTTGAAAAGTTATAAAATTGAAGATATATATAACAGATGCTGAAGGGAATGAAGCATTCAAAATGGTATGGTGCGTCGGTGGTACAGCGGTTAGGCCGCTCGCCGACCATGCACATGGTCCGGGGTTCGATTCCCGGCCGACTCACTCCTTTACCTCGCTAAGCCAGAAATAATTCTGGTAAAAGGGAAAGGTTCTGCATGAAGCTAGCAACCCCATCCTGTAAAATAAACACTTCTACAGAAACTTCAAGCCAATATCTTGGAGCCCTATGTTCCACCGGGGAACGTGAAGGAAAAAGATGGTATGAATTGTACTGACTTTTCAGAATCTGATTATTTATGGAATAAATGGGTGAATATAGTTTGAAAAAATTATTCATTGTGATGGACTAAAGTTAACTATGAAGGAAAAAGGTTAGATAACAAATTGTGTTAGAATTCAACTTGAGATATAGTGCAAATCGTGCCAAATTAAAATATGAAGTTTCCAAATGAATTGGAAAAGAGCAGAAATATACTAAAGACATTGGATAACACGACAGAACATCTATGTAAAATTGACACTTTTTCCCTTTCGAGCAAGCCTGATGCAATCTGTGGTTTTAATAACAAATAATTAGTTTGAGTTCTTCAGCTTTCGAAAAATCTGAGAATTCTGACATTACTTTCATCGTCAGCCTAGTGAAAAAACTACTATAAATGTTGATATTTTAGCTTTGGATTTTTGAAGAAAGTTTTAGCAAGTAAGAAAGAGTATCCTTCCCATTACTGTCTTCAATAAACTTATTTTTACTTGCACGTAAATTGTGTTAAAAGCAGTTTTGAGGATAGTCATGAAGCGAATCTTTAAAAAATCAAGCATTCTTTTTATGTACAAAGTATGTTTTAAAAACTTTTGTATTCACTTTGAGTGTTTGGAGTAGACAGCGAGAAAAAAAAACCATGAACTGCATTTTCTTGCCTGCTGGCATTTATCACAAGTACACATGCACAATTATAAGAGAAATCATGAGGTTTGCACCAGCAAAACTGAGCTCCGATGTCATAGAAGTTATAAATGAAGCATACTTAAAAACAGAGGTTGTAATGTCATCTGCTACCCAGTGACTAGGTGGCTGAATTATGGGAGGTGTACCAACTCGAAAAACATATCACATTAGGTTCTAATAAATTAACAGTCAGTGCGCTGCAGCATTAGTGTTATCATGTCTTGGAGATACAAAAACACACTGCTCTGATAGTAAGTTAATCAAACTTCAGAACTATGCACGTTCAGCTGTTGAGAGTTTGAGATGTTTTAAAATATTTAACTCTAATTCTAAACTGCTTTATCTTGTGGATTCAGAGGAAAAAATGTATCAGAGAATACTACAGAAAGACTTTCAAACAACAGAATATTTGAATGTCTTCTAAGTGGACTCCTTGTTATCCCTGAAATTCTTTGTTACTTCAAAAAACCATTCTAGTCTGTTATAGAAAGCATTCAGTTAAAAGCATGGTGAAGATGTGAATTGCTCAAAATATTTACCTAAATCAGGTTCATTCATTAAGAAAATTATCTGGGTTACCTTTCTAAAGTACTCTTGACTGTACTGGGCCAAGTAAATGCAAGTTCTTAGTCTGGATTAGTTATCCGCATATAACGATCCTGAGGAATGGAATGATTACATTTAGCCTCTTGACTTTGAATGTACATAAGCTACATGTGAAATGATAGTGTTTTACTAATTGGCTCGAGTTTGTTTGTGCTTTGCCTTTAAATCATTCTCAATGGTACAGATGCATTCAATCTTTATGAATTCCTGGATGCATCTAATTCTAGTTATTCTCAATATACTGTCACACACTTCTATTCATTATAATTGCATTGGATATTTCCTTACCTTAAGGTGTTAAACGGAGTGGCAACTTGAAGCACTACACTTTTTTCACATTTCTACACTGAAAACTCTGTCAGTTAATTCTTAGAATATGGACTGTGTCTTCCTGTGTAAATGTTTATTTTATTTAATATTACCAGCAAAGTGATTTTATTTACCTGGAACTAGAGACCTCCACAACCTCATAGCCCGAGATGAGGCAGCTCAGTTTAGCTACCGACCGTTTACCACAACCATACGGTCCAGCTAAAAGCATGTGACCACCTGGATTGCGAACAGCACGACATATGCGAACTATGTGACGAACGAAATCTGGGAATAAAATCAAGTTCTCTTTGGAATTCGCTTTATTCTTCTGGACTGATTGTTGTAATTGCTGGATATGAGTGCACAAAGAGCTTAGTCCTTCCACCTACCAAAAGCAAACAATTGATTAAATACTTCATTTTACTTCTAACAAACATGTTGCACATGTATTCTCTGGTGCATAAAATGTACACTTAAAGTGAACGAAAGTTGATGTGAGTTTCCTTAACTGAGACACTGAATAAACATTTTCAGATACTAAACGCCACAGCCAAAAAGACAAACATATCTTCTTCCTTGTCTCGTCTTTCTGACCATAGAGCATGCACCGGTCGAAATTTTCACTAATAACTTGTAATTGACACAAATTATTTTATTAGTCGACAAAACTGAAAGATTTGGTAGGATAAATCTAGAATTATTGGTTCCTTTCCAAGGAATATGTCAAAAAAGACCCTTGTGATACTTCTAATTTTTTAAATTTTTTATTCAGCTTAATTCTACAGAAATGAAGTGAAGTTTATGACGATAAAAGCAAGTCGTATGCTTAAACGTTGTTATTTCAGTGTTCACCAAAACAGAAGAAATTTATCCCTTTTTCCCGAAGAACTAAGATGTATTTTTTGGTTGACAGCAACTTTTATAAATTTTTAATCAATAATACTTCTTTCCTAGGCGGATTTATCTGCTTCATTGCGAGATGCCACTAATAAGAACTTTTCATTTAGTGAAAACATATGTTAATTCAAATTCGCTTTGTTGTTAGGGTTTGTGACGTCTTTGGAAATCTCTTCAGAATGGAAGCTCAGTCTTCAGATCAAGTCACTGTTCTTTTCATGAGTTTACTCTCATTTATTTCATTCCGGCTTCTTTCTTACAGTGTAGTACAGAAACTAAAGTTCAGATGAATAACGACTTTTCCACACTAAAACCAAACTTAAGTGATTTCGGCTTTATAACGTTGTGATAAATACGATTTACTCTGCTAGTTTGAATAATTTATCAAGGTCACTAGGTATTCAGGTTGCTAGGTTTCAAAAGTAGCGGAAACAACAGTATTACATCTAGTTTAGAGAGATTTGTTTTCGAAACACTATAGAAGACAAATTTTTCGAGACATGTTTATCACAGTGCATGAAATACTGCCTTCTCTTCTAATTACATTATCACTACTGTTATTCATTCCTTGCATCCAGAGTGTAATATAGGGCTTCGATGATGCATATCTATTTTCCTTCGTCCACTACCATTAGTTTTAGCCAGTTCCACGATTGTCCACAAACTTTCCTTTTCTTGTCACTTGGTCTTCTCATTATTGCCCTCAGAGGCCCATACGTCTTTTTGTATTAGAGTCCCACTCTAGAGTTTGGTGCAAAATGTCAACTGAATGTGTCCTCAGTGTATATTTAGTCCGTTTCATCTCCTTCTGTACATTTTGTAGTTAACAGATTGTTGTCTGGTTTAATTCCAGCTAGAGCTCCTTGTTGCTCGTCCTTTTAGGCTGGTCATAGGACCTTTATTATCGTATGAAGGAATGTGTTGATAAGGATCTCTAGACTGGTGGAAATGGTTTCAGTGAAGCATTATCTATGGCTTTCAACTATACAGAAGCCCTAACTTGTCATTAGTATTAAAAATTGGGATCTTGCTCCGTGTTGAATGCTTTAAAACTCCACACTCATTTCAGAGCAATAAACTCCAGTCATATTGGCTGATATTCACATCCTAATCTGTGCTGTCATTATTTTAATCGATGCAGGCCAGGTAAGCTACCGAGAAGACTTCCTTTAGAATTCTCACAGAACTTTACATTAAAGCAATCTGATGGTTTAGAATTAAACAGTTTACTCAAACGAAAATTTGAAATGGTTTTCCTTGGTTTTTCCTGAGTATTAATTGACTCAACACTTTATTGAGGCGAGAAAATCAAGCTATTACAATGGTCGAATAGAATTCACTACTTAAAAATTGATTCGCGACTTGCAATTCACACATGTTTACGCGAAACTTCACTGCAGTTTCCTTTGACACCATATTCATTCGGCCCTCCTAACTGAGTCAAACCAAGTGGACCTCTGGTGGGCCTGAATCCAAACAACTCGAACCATCATCCAGCGTTTGGATCACTTTGATCTGCCTAGCAAACACTACTGGCCGGTGGCAGAGGTACACAACTACTCACAACCATCAATCAGGAGTATGTAACACCTTACAACTATATATTAACTTGGTCATTCATATTCATTCTGAACAAATAGTTCCTCATCATAGAAGATTAGCATACCTGTTCATAAACCTTAGGTACATCATTCAAATGGTTTTCTACAAGGCCTTGTCTTTCAACATGGTTTCTGTTGGGAGGAGAAAGAGGCAAAGAACAGTTAAGGGAATAATAAAACAAACGGTTTGAACAAATTAGAAGACAAATGTGGTGCTGTTTTCCTATACGTTTCCTACTAAACCTTTGAGCACGGTTTAATGTTAAGGGAATGTACCTTAAACAACAGTGTTACAGTTACCCAAATTGATATATACACACTATAAAACCAAAAGTTAGTACTACTAGACAGCCATCAACCTGGTGTAATTAAGCATAAAATTATCTACCACTTTAAGTGAATATAACTTTCTAACGAGATATTTACAAAATCGTCAACTGTTAAAAAACTTACGCCAAAATAAATCTACAGGTCTAAATATAGGTCTGCGCAACAAATCAAAATGATATCGTTAAGTTACATTATTCTGAGATCACTGAATGCAAGTTTTAATTTATTTAGTGATTAATGGTGCAAAACCTGATTACGCAGTAATTATAAATTACTTCCCTTTTCCTCTTAAGGACTGACTAAGCTAAATAGCAATTATTTCGTGGTAATGTCTTACGTATTCCGGGTTTTAGTCGGATTTTTTCCTTTCATGGACGTAGGCATTCAAGCAAATATTTAATGGTTCAGTGTAAAAGAAACCCTCTGTGTGACTTGATTGAAGCGTGTATATCACTGTTTACTGATTATGATTACTACGAAAATATATGGTCATGTTTGTCGGTAAAAGCTTCTCTCTTAATGACTTTCCTGCAAATGTTTCTCTGACACAGTTCACATTGCTTTTCTACAACCTGTTGTATAGCATGCTGCATAAGAATTAGGTTTCCGGGAGGCGTCCTCCTAAACCTTGCTTAGTTGTTTGAAAGCTCAACAAAGGGAAAGGTTGAGCGTGAGGCTAGCAACCCTACCCCCATAAAAATAACACCACTGAAACTTCCAAGTTCAAGGTTGAATCCCTATGTTCCACTTGGAAAGCAAACTGGGTGAAGAAAAGAACGACAGTGATGACACTATCCATTGAAGAATATTACTATAATCCTTTTGCATCTTCATAAATCATTATCCTCAAAACCCAGTTGAATTCAGCCCTTGAATTTGCTCCTGATTTTCCGATCTTCATCTTTAAAAGGTGGCGAGGTCTGTTAAATGCCAGTAATTTTGTATCACAGAAACCTGTTCACTGTCTCGGCAAAAACAGATTTGTTTGTTTCATCATGCTTTCATCAAGATCTGTTACTAATTGTTGATATGATAATCCCATTCTGTGCTTCCAGAGGTTTTTCAGTTAAGCATTCTAAATCATCAGTGAAATAATGTAATTCTTTTGTCATGAGATATGCGCCACAACTTTTCAGCTGTCATACTATTTAAGTTGATCGTTGATAATTTTCCTAGTGTCACTCATCGTGTTTAACATGGCTTTAGTATTACACTGAAATAGTAATAGAAAATATGTCACTCAATCCTTCAGTCTAAATTTCTAGGCAGAATAAAAAATATTAATAATATCATGCTGCTAAACCATGCAATTTCGTTGATGGAAACGTATTTCCATTTTAGGAAAGTATATATTTATATATGTGTATATATATATAATTCAAGTCCAATTTAACAGTTTACTTCTTATTTTCACTGAACTCTTTAAATAATCTACAAAGAAGTAATGGCGCTGTAAACAATTTTTGAAATGGTTAGAAGAAAAGAAATGAAAACAAAAAAGTGAGAACCAAAAAGAATTTAAGTGAATATCTAACCCCATAAAATCCACAAAAATGACTTCACTCGACAACAGTGTTTCACATTCTTTTCCTAACTTGCTTGTAACTGTTTGAATAAGATTCGCATCAAACCATTTTTCATCCTCCACAACAGACAAGCGATCGGCAAGTACACGACGAACTTCATGCTGCCATAATGATAAGACACTCTCTTTTGACTTGAACACCTGTGAAACATATTTAAACAATGTTCACCAATTAAACTTTTCAATTTTCAAAAGCATCATACTTTCAGTGGTTTACCGATATTACTGTAATGAACTGTATAAGCCAGTAATAAGTCAGTGAATAACAGGTGAGTAGTATACACAGTAAAAATTAGACGCACTACACTAAAGTTAAATGGAAAACTAAATTTTCCCTTCTTTTATGTCTACTACAACGGTTATAACCGAAGACAACTCAAATCATACCTTTTTATTCTATCAGAAATCTGTAAAATTGAAGCAGTTCATGTCATGGTAAACCAAATAATCAAACATTTAATTTAAACCAACAACATTACTGCTCACTCTCTCTCTCTCTATATATATATGATCAGCATTCTTGTTTTTCTAAACATCTCGAAAATAGAAACAACATTCTTTAAAATGAAAGCTATTTATATACATTTCATATCAACCCTACTCACTAACATAGAATTTCACACAAAAATGCGCATCAATTTTGCGTACCACAGTGTTATACAATAATTTTTACTGTGACTTTATCAAAATAAAATTTTGTCCATAATGGAATTGCACTACCACGGTGTCCAAGTTTTATCCTTACTTTTTTATTACAGCTTGATTCCACACTGTATTTTTGGTACAAGTATGGAATTTTCAGCATGGATATCGGTAGCCCAAATTTTGCAGGCCGACCATAGATACCAGGTGTGCGTCGGCAGGGGATCGAACCTCGGACCATGTGCATGGTCCGCGAGAGTCCCAACCACTGTGCCACCGACGCACTTATATATATATACTATATATATATACATATATATACTTACCACACTTAGTAAAAGCATACATAAACCAGAGTAAAGAAATGGGGTGAGGGGAAACAACAGTGAGCAAAAATGTTAGATAGAAGGAGTATTTATGTGTGAAATAGTGTAGATTACTAGGATATGGATGGTGAAAAGAAGTAAATACATCTGCACTGCTGGTTAGTTGCCCACCTAATATGCCAATAATTCTGCTTAAGGTCTTCAGATGACTCTGCGTTTTGCATCCTCACTTAGAAAGATTGTATCATCTGCATGCCGTAAGTTGTAATGACTGTCACTTGATAAAAAAAAGATAAAATCCTAAAACACAGAATTTAAGTGAAGTTACGTCCAATAATACATGTGTAATTAAATTAAATCAGAATATTTACATGGACATCCCTGAATAGCACCAGTAGCTGTCGTCACTTCAGATAATATCTCTCTGTATGCTTTAAAACAATTGCAAGAGATAGGAAAGAGCACATTGTATAGTCTAATACACTTCCTTGACATCACCTTTACAGCTAGACATTGCCACAACATGTCTCATTTGGCTGAGTGGAGTGCAGTCTTCAGGTCAAAAAGAATGGCAAGTGTTGGACGCCAGTAAACATGGCTGTGCCATGTATCAAGGAGAAAACGTAATCAGGGCACTGTTTCGTGCCGGAAATATTTTCGGCATTCTGAAACTTGCTTTTTCGATCTCCACTTATTAGATGGTTGGAGGCAATCGTTAGGAAGCCTTGGACATAGGTTTCGTGCTAGTTGGCACTCGTTAGTAAGACTTATCTGTAACCTTGAAGGAACTTATGTCCCTTCTGAAATTCGAACCCACGTCACCCAGTGCTGCAGTCAGAGACGTTACAACTGAGCTATTCAGGCTCGCAATTAGCCTCCTGTAGGATTATAGTGGATACTTTGGTTGGATAGTAGTAACTAGCTTCCAGTCAAAGGATTTCCACTTAGTCTGTTGAACCTATAATCATAAGTACTGTGGTAGCCAGGCTGAAACCACTTTTTTTATCATTAAAGACTAGTATGATCAGCAGTCTACAAAAGCCTCATCAAGCGACCACAGATTTCTAGTTATTAATTCACAACCATTATCGTTGAATATCTCAGGTATCAAACCAATAGATACTTCTCCTTCGACTTAGTTTAAAAACTACATTAAAAAAGTGATTACAAACGGGTATCAGATTTCTACACCTCATTTAGGCTAGCGTATGATGATGGTCAGATATGACGCATTGCAGTCCAGCTGAGATCTTCTTGAAATTGTTCCTCTTAGTGTTTTAACTGCCTGATATGAAGATTTATAGCAGTTTTATCTAATTTGCAGTTCGTTTTACTTACTATAGATGATTATGACCTGGTTTTTAATATACTCAGTGGTTGATGGGTATTATCCAGATCTCATATTTTTCCACTTATTTTCCATTCGTTAGCTCCCAATTTTCAATGTTGTTTCCAGAACTTCTGGTCAGTTTACATTTGGGCAGCTTTTGTTTCTCGTCATTTTGAAGCTTTTTGGGTCAGTCTTAGATTAGTCACTTTATATGAGCCTGCAGGAATCCACTTGCATTTGAAAATCTTTGGTCACAGTGTGAATACTGATAGGAATACATTTGCCATCTCCTCCCTTAATAAAGATTTCATGCTACCACACTGTAGACATGCAACAACAGGGACATTTCCGTGACTGGAGTCTATGCAGGCATTCCAGAAGAGGTAACAGTATTCCGCTGATGGCCTTTATCGACGACATACAGATAAGTGAAAAAATTATCAGTGAAATTAAGGGGTCTAAGCCAAAACATTTTCTGTATGTTGTGTTATGTCCATCCCTCATGTTATTCAAAAACTCTGCACAAATGATACACTTCTCATGCATGTGTAAGTAATACACAAACAAAATCAGTTTTTATCTTTTGTGGCTGAAACATTCTTTAGAAATTTAGAGGTGAATGTTCACAATTTTAGGCAAGTATGAGGATGAAACGCTTGTGGTGTAAAACAGAATGGGGCACACCTCTAAATAGTCTCAAATTTTTTAACGATTTACATAAAAATGTCAACAGAGCAAAAATTCTCATTCAGACATTTAGAGGATAAAAGGAATTCGGAGCAAGGAATTTCATTTTCGATAGAGATGAAAGACAAATTTATCGAAAAGAATGTTCTTTGGTTGGACTTTCTTTTGATAAAAATGTCAACTTTTTAATGAAATGTGAGCCTTAATAGTAGATTATTTTCGGGCTTTTTATTGACAAGGAAGGAAGAGAGGAATTTATGGCAACTCTCCAAATCTGGCACCTCTTTTACTATGAGGAGATCATAGCGTTATTCCTCAAACTCTAAGTCACATCTTTGAGAACTTTTTAGTGACTGAGATTATTTGCAGAGAGGATTTTTTTTACTTATCATTTTTTTTCTAACCAGAAGATTGTCATTATGAACTTTTACCAACAGTCTAGGCGTCATTTTCACCAACGCATTACATAGCTGAAAATTCTTTGTATCAGTTCATTGACCTTCGGTTTATGTTAAACAAAAAAGTGAACTAAGTTCGCTTGGAATGGATGTAAAAAAGTCGTGCTTAAGCTAAGCTATAACAAATCTCGATCAAAAAAGATGAAAATAATGGCTTTCTAATAAATTCATTCCTGTAAACATTTCCTTTGTAAGATGATAAAACTTTGAAGTATGGTGGATGCAGACCTAGTTAAATTGTAGTTACGTTATAGGGTCACTTAATTATTTTTTATTATTATTATTTATTTTTTTATTATTTTTGATTACAGCTTGATTCCACATTGTATTTTCGGTACAAGTATGGAATTTTCAGCGTGGATATCGGTAGCCCAAATTTTGCAGGCCAACCATAGATATCAGGTGTGCGTCGGCAGGGGATCGAACCTCGGACCATGTGCATGGTCGGCGAGAGTCCTAACCACTGTGCCACCGACGCACTTGATTATCAATAGGAATTTCCAAATTGATCACGGATCGATATCAGTTAGAGAACCATTGAAAACCAGGGAACACTGGATGGCTGTTTCATCCTAGCTCATATATTATTCAGCCTTGTAACCCGAAGGTCCTGGATTCGAAACGCGGTGATGGGTGCGTACTGCCGATGATTCACAATCTAGGACGAAACAGCTATCCAGTGATCCCTGGTTTTCAATGGTTCTCTAACTGATATCAATCCGTGGTCAAACTCGTATAAACAAATCTAATCCTTACAAACCAACCATAGAAAATGGGAATTTTCTCATTTTAATGTAGATGTACAAAGTCACTTAGTATGTTACCATAATTTAAATTTCCCTTACCTTCCTGTCTGCGGTGATTATTCCTCCCCATATTCTGCATACATCGCGGAAAGTATAAACGTACTGGAACTTTGCTGGCGTCGGCAACATTTTGGTTCGTGTTTGCTCCCAAACATAACGCGTGATTGGAATCAATTTATTCATTAGACAAATAATTTCATCGGATATTTTATGCACTTCATACAGATATTTCTCACAAATAGTTCTAAATATGTAGTCCAGCGTTTGATTATTTGGCAGTACAGTAGTTAACATACAAAAATGCCGTATTAATCGTGTAGATATATCACTCCTCCTTTTAAGGGGTGTCGTCATAGCGGCCACATACTAATATGAAAATAAAAACAATCGTTTGAATAGCACGGATCAATTAATTAACTCTTGAAAACGCCTCAGACGAAAACGAAGTTGTGAGCACAAGAGCCAGTCACTGCTTGTGCCATATCTTGAGAAATAAAACTGTGACATTTTGATTCCCATTCCTTAATACGATTATATCAGTCGATGCGAACAGTTAGACATTATGTATACCCAATATTTTATCAGTTAATATTAATACAGAGAACTCAGATTTCTTATCGATCGCAACCCTTCGAATTGAAATCTATCAACTATATAAATATTGTGTTTGACATAATGTGATTAGACTACAAATTCTACTAAATAAACATTGGTGAGCATCAAAGGTGTCGAGTTCTCGGAAAATCGCTAGCTCTGTGTCAGTGATTATCATAGTGTTGTCCTGTGAATGAGAAATTTTACACGTTGCACAATTTGAGTACAACGCAATATAATCCAGTAAAGATGGTGACTAGAAATGACAATAATAGAACTGATCTATCTCTTCATTTCACTAGTCATCGAATGGCTTCATTCAACTTATTGTTAACTTATTCTATCTGCATATTCTTAATCATCGTATGTACTATCCTCCTGATCACCGTAGACATAAATTTCCAAAGATCAGTGAAACGACTAATTTCCCTAATGTTTTGTCGAGCCAAACCTACAAAATCTGAAACCGAAGAGAAGCACGATGGTATCCTGGGAGTAAGTGATACATCTGAAGTAGACGACCTGACAGATTCTTGTGGCTTGTGTCTGAAAAGTATTCTCACCTGCAAATGTTTAACAATAACGAAAGATGGAAAAAAGATTAAAATTAAGTCTTCATTACGTATGAGTTCAATATACAAGAGACCGAGTAGCAAGAAAGACGTGTTGAAAAGACAGTCTACAGAAGATATTTATGTCACTGAAAATTACCGACAAAAGGGCGATATATTCAGAGTACGCTTAGAGTTCTTATCTGATCTAGCTGCCTATATGAATATGCGTGCTCTGAAACACCTGACAAGAGAATCTGTTCTCTCTAGAAGCTCGAACGATAAACTCGTCACTAACGAAGATGCTATCTTCGCCTCCGAATCTGATGCGATGTTCTACGTTAATTGAAGATAAGCAGGGACCATAAATTGATAAGTAATTGTATTGTTTTCAAATAGCTTTCTAGTGCAAGTGAACAAGAAAAGTGTTTACTAAAACTGTTGTGTTTTATTTTATTCTGTTGACTGAGAGACAATTTCGGTGATATGACAACATCCACGTCTGAATCATTCACTTCACATGCATTAATGGTGGGTTGTTATTATGATTATTGTTTGAAAGTTATCAAGTATCGATGAAAGGAGCTCACTACAACCCTCTCCTATGCGTTTTATTGACTGTGAATGTTCATCATGGTACAAACACCAGACATTTGATCTGGCCTTATTCGTACTAGACTAAATGATTTGGAATTTCGACCAGTGATCGTCATTAATTCTGTGTTGTCAAGTAAAGCCAGTTAAGTATACCTCTGTAATGTAAATTGTGTTTTAAATCAATTTGTCGGAATGTTTGGCAATAGAAGCATTCTCCTTGGCTTTTTCTTATGGTAAACCTTGAGACAGCATTGATCATTCATTTGATTAGAAAAGCCCAAAGATATCAACGCGTAGAAAAAATTCGTCAACAGTCAGGTGACTACACAATTGGGCTATACTGTGTTCAGTAGCTGAGCTTTTATTGATTCTTGTCAATGATTCTCAAGAAGGTACTCATGACGACTGTCATCTACCGAGGCATATAATACAATCATAGTCTAATAAAGTAGGCAGAAACTCAGGCTACGTACAGAAAAATCAGTTTCATCTCACAAGTGACACCACTAAGTGTTTCTGTCATCTAGTTTCTGTGCAGTCATTAGGCTGTATTCTAAGCACTTAGCAGTGAAAACGCTGGATATCATTAAGATGGATTAGTGTGACTGTGTGTTGATCCATACAATCATGAGAGAAGAGGGATAAGTTTAGGTGAAGTGCTTAGAAATATACGCTTCCTGTATGAAGCAACGAAAGAATAAGATAGTCTCGCAGATCACAGCCTTTTCTTAATTGACTTTCTAGAGGTTTCAGCTGACAGACAATATGAAAATGATATTATATGACGGGATTCACAGTCCTCTTAGGATGTTTAACAAAGATGTGCAAGTTCTTGCATGACGCTGTTTACCTGGAAATGTAACACTTATCCAATACATGCTATGCTTTGGTAGCCATATTGATATGATTTACTGATTTAACTATTTCGCCTTAATTTCATGATGTCTAGAATGCTATTCAAGAAATTAATGTCAACTAAACAATTAGGCACACCAGCTAGTTTATTTCCCAACACATGATGACAAATTTGCGTTATTCGACTGAATACATGTAAAATGACCATCAACAATAATATATATGTATGCATATATGTATAGGTTTAACCTTATTACATTGAAGTTTGTCGTAGATACAAATTCATTCGATTTTTTCCAGTTATAAAATCCTTCCATTTCAACCAGTTGTCTAAAAAATTCATGGACACTCGGTTCATCATAACTGTTCTGCATAAGCATATGTAAGTCGTCAATGAAAACGGTGTAACCCCTTTCATCTGTTGGATAGGGCTTAGTCTCGGATGGCTTGCTGGTACATTCCATGATCAGCCTCTACAGAATGCGTCAAAAAATGAAAACGATACAGGAAAGAAAAATACTGTTTGTAATTAGTAAGAAGATATAATTGAAATTGTGTGCATTTAGAAACTGAGGTGAAAATGTAAAATGATCCTTTCAGAAACCCAATATGATATACAGGATTTCATCATGAGCCGACATCAGTCCAAGGACCATTGGAAAACCTGAGAGTACTGGACAGCTGTTTCGTCCTAGTTTGGGACTCTTCATCATTTCGCACCCACCAGGATCCAGGACCTTCTGGATATAAGGCGAGCTCGTATAGCAGTAAGCCACTGGGACCCTATCCAATGGCCCATCAATTCTAACTTCTGCCGAAACTAGGACGAAACAGCTGTCCAGTACTCCCAGGTTTTCCAATGGTTCTCTAACTAATGTCACCTCATGATGAAATCCTGAAAACCAATCAAATCCCTACAAACCAACACCTGAATCCAATATGATATTTATTCATACTGAACTGAAAGTGAATTATGAATGACCATAATACTACAGTCATGCGAATGTTCTCTAGACGAAAGCGAATTTAAGTAGTTTTTCAAATGTTGGTTTTTAGGATTTCGGTCAGTTCCAGGTGAGATTTCATCACAAGCTAATGTCACTCAGAGAACCAATGATTAGTGGATATCTGCCCTCACAGCGTAAATATCGTAAGTTCGATACCTGGTAGATCTGTGATCAAGCAGTCATGGGGAAAGTCCCGAATTAGGATGAGACTAAAAATACAGTCATTTATTAAATCACAGTGACAGAACGTAATATCTACAGAGAGAATTGTGTGTAAAATACTAAGTAATCGAATAGTAAGCACGAACTCTAATAGACTGAATGGTCTCTCCTACTTTGTTAGACGTCGTCCGGTAGTGACCTGGATTCACAATGAAGAATAGAAGAGCGAGTTAACTTTGCACCAAGCTGAAAAACTCAAACCAATGTTCTGTGACTGTGAACGATGAGTCTGTGACACTCAGATTAATGGATTTTATCTGAGGTTAGGTGAATTCAATTTACGAAAAGGCGAATAACTCTGGGTAACAACTTCAATTTGGCTTATTCATCCAGTCCTTCTTTTAATTAAATCGTGGAAGTACCAAAATATAAAATGTCAGAAACTTTATGCAAGCCTATATATAATCCTAGGGGAGGAGAACTTCTTTACACTCGAAAAATACGAAATCTGTATGAAATATGTGTAAATGGTGAATAGCGATGTATCTAATAAAAAATGATTCGCAGTTAACCTGTGGTAATATTTCATAACTTAGTTTAATCAATTTCAACTCAGATTTTACCCTCAATGCATGTTGACGTATATTTTTAAAAGCTTGCATTATTATTATATAAGCAAATTTCATCAAATTCACCTGAAAACTTTCAACACTTGTATTATGTGTGAAATTGTAACACATATTGGCCATGTTTTCTTTTTGTAAATTGGAAATGAATCGGTTAACCAGCATGGTTTTCCCACTGCATATGTCACCTACTAATAATATAGGTTTGCCTGCTTTTGTCATTGTCTGAAGAAAGTATTCAACGCAATTAGTACACTCGTTTGGAACAAAAAAGTTCATAGTCCCTCGGCTAGTAAATTCATCAGTAAAGTTTGCGTCGATACGTTTCGACCACAGGATCCAGTTGCCTATCCAACAAAAACAAAACAGAATGTAATTTATATGTATATCATTTAGTAAAAGAAAAGTAGGTTTCAGTAGAGAAGAAGCTGAGAGGCATGAGTTTGAAAGGTGTACTACCTGATGAAACTTCGGAGGGAAGGATTCAAAACAGACTACTTACTAAAATGTAGTCATGTAAATAGTTGCCACATTATTTTAAGGCTCGTAAATATAAACTAGAGTTTGATTATTGTTTAACTTAACTTCAACTTAAAAGAAATAAAAAGCTATGCGAAACAACTGCCAACAATAGGCAGCTAATCACAAAATCACTATTAAGTACTGTTTCTTTCTGAAAAGTGCGTACCCTATTTACCAATAACTTTTAGATTTTTTTTATTTATTTTGATTACAGCTTAATTCCACACTGTATTTTTGGTACTAGTATGGAATTTTCAGCATGAATATCGGTAGCCCAAATTTTGCAGGCCGACCATAGATATCAGGTGTGCGTCGGCAGGGGATCGAACCTCGGACCATGTGCATGGTCGGTAAGAGTCCTAACCACTATGCCACCGACGCAATATTCATAGATGCAATATTCATGGTTACATTAAGGACGATGATTGATTAACTCGCGAAGTGTCTTCCTAAAGTGGTCACCAATCAAGATGTTCACTTTTAATACTCGACTACCAAGTTTTGCCGTACAGTAGTCTATATTTCTGCAAATGAATAGATATGGATCGACTTCCTAGATGAATGTACTACAGTTAATGACAGAAACGTCGTGTTGGATGACGCCACTAATAAAATGCAACATCTTTTTAACAGTCTGGATATATTTTCTGCTCTCCTTACGAATACAAATTGCCAAATCACGACTTGTCAGCATGGACGCACCAACTTGCAAAAATGATTCATGAACCACTCCCAACGATGAACACCACTGTGAACACACGAAAATTCTTTGTTTAATCTAGATACATCTCACAGGTTTGTGTCTCATACAATTTTGTCAGTTCAATGATCAAACATTCATGAACTTAAGGAACAAAGCACAAATACGATGGATTCTATTGGGATTAACTAACAAAGCCCTTATTCAGAAATAAAAATTTATAGTTTCACTGATATTAAAAGCCCAAATCGCGATACGTTACTGGGACAAGACACTTGTCGTTATTGAATGAAATGGTTCAGAAAGCACTAACAAGGTAACTTAGAACGTCTTCAGTGAAATCAAATTTAACAGCTAGAAAGAAATCAGTGAGTGAAATTCCAATTCTGAATGTCTTGACTAGGATAGAACTAAAAATGCAAGTGTATGAAAAGTGAAGAAAAGCGTCGAAGGGAATTCGAAGTCGTCATCTATCTATAGCCAAAGGTTCTAGCTTTATCTGTTTCTTGAGCTAGGTAAATCTCATCGAATAATTAAAACTTTTCACCCCTTGCATACATTGATCATACTTATTTAAACTTTTATTATGTATCTATTTATTCTTTACCATTACACAACTCCTAATTTTGTAAGATTCTGATTTCAGTTAATTACTGAAAAGTTCACTTCTTTATGCTGTCTTCATTATTCTTATTTCCACCTGCATAAACTATTTGTACTTTTGTTATCATTGACGATATTATTATTATCGATGTTATTACTCATATATTCACAATATTTAACATTTGCATTCGGTTCACAAATTCAGTGTGACATGTGAGGAAAGCTGTATTTGAGCACAGCCTGAGGAAGATCTAAATTATATCCCCTGGAAATATCTTTAGGAGAACTTATTAGTTCAGTTTACACCCCCAGTGAATATATTACTAGAAAGATGAGATGAAGAATTGTCTTCCAACCTCATTGTCAGCCTAGTTTTCTGGGAGGGCAATGGCTTCCCTCATCCAAATTATAATTAACCCACAGATTAGTACAAAGTGGATTGGTTCAGGTTCTCTAGAGACAGCTGTGTGCAGAAACATGCAATATGAATAAAAGGCAGAATATAAGAACTACAGGATTACTTTCTCTACTAGCAATCTTGTTGCCTTCAGTCCTCATTCACAGGTTAAAGTCAGTTAACTTAAACTACTGACAACGGATGAATAGTAACTGATCACACAGACCAGTTTCGTTTCTCAATCTTACCACTTTTAATTATTCAAGGGATTTTCAGCATGAATTAGTTTGGTGGACGGTGACTAGCAGTGAAATCCAGAGTGAACATTTGGTCTAACTTGAAACCTGTCAAATGGATGTACCTGAAACCTACGGAGGGTGATGGTGTTCTCACTGATATCCAAACCAGAACCCTTATCTTCAAACGCCGGACCATTACCCACCAGATCATATATCTACACATTTCCATGTCTGTTTGCTCTCCACAAAAGTCGTCAAAAATAGAAATGATATACGATTATCTAACCACAATATTTAATACTTTTGAATATGAATACCAGAGATCAAACTGGAAACAGCTTGATATGTTTACATATGAACCATGAGGATTTCCTTAGGTATAGTAGTGAAAAGTGCATTTGATAAAACTCATATAGGCAGACTGAAAAAAGTTTTTATAAAAGTTTTGTATTTCCCAATGAATGAAGAACAAAAACGATATTGTTTTTACTGACGTTTCGCTGATAGCTTTGTCAAAGTATTATTAAACCAGAATTTACAAAATCTCAGCTTATAGATAACAACTTAATCGGACCCCGAGCATCCTCTCTATACGCATCTATCTCCTTGCATTTCATCTGGTAGAACTAGAAGCAGCTATAGGAGGCTATATGCTAGGACTACCAAATACAAAAACTCCACAATACCATATCTGGCATAGCTGTTATGTGATGAGAAATCCGTTAGGTATGACACGATAAACTTACTACAGCACTCTAACAAATAGTTCCATTAGTTTTTGTTTTCCTTTCCTCGTTACTATTACACTGTTGTTCTCATCTTCTACCACACATCAACTTTATATTTCAAATCCTGTGGTGCATTGTTTGAAATGAAATACTCTACGCTGTTTTTTTTCTTAATTTTTAATATTTCTTAATTTTATTTATTTATCTTTGATTTTTAAAAATCTTATATAATTTATGAGGTAATTAGATGCAATATACTGTAATGCACGCTGAAAATTCCATACCTGTACCACAAATACCGTTTGGAATAAAGCTGTTATTATTATTATCGTTCATCAACATGCGGTGATTTTCGCGTTGTCCAGTTTGCCAATTGGTAAAGACAACAAAGAGTTAAGAGGTGAGAAAATAGACTTGGGTCAAGTTAAAAGGACATACTGAAGGCCAAAATAACAATGAAGACCACTAAAAAACTAAATAAGGGAGGTAACAGTACATCTACCCTAGTATCAAAACAAAGCTTAAAAAAATAAGTGTAGATTGCAAAATCAAGTGTAGATTGTTGGATTTTGTCAGTGTGTAGAATTATGAAAGTAGTGTGTGTTCACATAGTGAACTTGCTCATCACATTTGCGTTGATTTTGCTACTTCATGGGGAGGGTGTTGTAGCCAGGTCAGATTCTGTTTTAGTCCATCATTCCTATTCAGGCAATTTGGATTCCATTCGACATGAAGTGCTTCTGATATCAGACGTTCTTTGTGATCTCTGAAATTTTTCAGGATTATTTCAGTATTGTCAAAATCCATTTTGTGTCCTGATTCTATAGCGTGCAGACCTATGGCTGATGATTTTTCAAGCTTTTCTAGTTCAACTGGATTTCTTGGTGGTCAGATAGATGCTCTACGGTGTTCATTTCTTCTGATTTTGTTTTCTCGCGATGTTTGTCCAATGTATATTGCATCACATCCCGAGCATTTTATTTTACACACAATTAGATAGAGAATCTTTACGGATTCGGTCTTTCATATAGACAAAATTGCTTTGCAATGTGCCTGATGTTTTGAAGGAAACTATGAACACTTGTCCGATGGACCGTACTTACTTATTGAAGAAAAAGAAGAAATCTACCGAATTTAATAAAAATGAAACTGAATACCAGTAGACTTCTTCAAGAACTGAAACCCAAAATTGGAAATTCTCTCTGGTTTAGACTAAAACCAAAATCTTATGTTAATCTTATGGTTTAATAATACTTTGACAAAGCTATCAGAGAAACACCAGTAAAAACAGTATCGTTTTTGTTTTTCATTCATTGCAAAATATGAAAATTTTATAATAATGTATATCAAATATCCAATGCCTAAAATTTTCACACTGTTAAAAAGAATAAAATTTATTTAAAAGTTATCCTAATGGTCATAGATATATTCATAATGAACAAGTTGAATTATGTTATTGAAACAATGTAATATTTGAATAATTTTAACAAGACAGAAATTATTTTAAGCGATACTGTTCTTGTGTAATCAAGTGTTTCATGCTACTATACTTCAAAAAGATCCTAATTCTCCTAACTGTCTGACTGAGAAAATGTGTCCTCATAGCCTTCCCTATACGAAAATAAACGCCTTCTTATAAGAGGTTCATTCCTTAGGAAATATGGCAAAGTTGAACAATAGCGTCCCAAGGGATTCGGACGCACGGGTGACCTTTAGCCGACCAATCAGAAAACTGGTGGAGTTTTGCACGAAAAATGACGTATATTTACAAGAAGATGCATGAAAACACATTAAACAGATAATCTTTCTCAGATATGACTTAAAAATACGTCCCAATTATAATGAGGAGTATCAGTTGCTAACTTAGACTAGTTTCTGTAGACGTATTGATCGAGGTGACTGGAGATGTGCTGTTTTTGTGAATCATTCATCTCTCTTATCTTGTTGTGCGGTCCTTGCCAAAGCCCTCGGTTAAATTACTATGGTTTCCAGTAAGAAGACCGACGACTAAATACCAGGAAAATGAGGATAATAAAACAAATTAAAATAAATGACATTAACTATAAATCTATTCCTAACCGCAACCCTAACCTTAACCCTAGCCCTAATCATAACCCTTATCCAAGCAGTAATTCTAACTCTAATGGTACTTATAACCCTGATTCTAACCCTAACCCGAATACCTATCTTAACCCTAACGAGCTATTAACACATTGTCGAAACAGTACTTAAAAACGTGATCTGGGTGAAATTTGCTGCTTAGCTGGTGAATAGCATTGATATTTCAGCTATGATAATAGAAGGTGCCATTAGCCAACGACTAGGATGCGTTCAAGGTCATTGAAGCGTTCACACTCCTGGGACGCTATTGTTGAACTTTGCCAGAAATATTCCTCAATGAATCAAATTTAAGTGATGGACTTGGGCACCGCGACAGGATGTAATTCCATACTGGATAAGTTCATTTTAAATATCGCACAATGATGAAGCATTAACAACTAGACGACATTTTGAGCATAAATTACTGCTCATAATCAAATCAATTTTAGTAACACTGTTTCATAGTTTGTGTTTTATGTATATTTTCTCTCTTTCCGTCTCTCCAACTTTCCTTTGTTGTTTGTTGCCAGTTTCCATATCTCCGTTATAGGCGTGATGTCATTCCCTTTGCACGTAGGCGGGGTTAAATCGTTAAACAAAACTTCTATCCACCTGACTATACTTTTTGATACTATAAACATGTTCCACCCTATTTTGTGATTACACGCAAATGAATGCTATGCAACGGCTGAGCTTTTTTCTAGATTGTTTAACCTAACAGGATCAAATATTCTAGGTTAGGTTAAATGACCTTAGGGCGATAATAAACGGCAAGGTAGTGAAATCAGGTAAGTAACAATATATTCATGAAAAAGTCTTCAATGAAAAGTAATGATATTAAACGGAATATCCGGTTAGTTTTGCGTTACGTTAAGTTTAGGCTAGGAACACGTTAGAGTCGCGTTGGCCTAATTAGTTGGGGTATTAGAATTGATTGGTGTTAGGGTTAGGTGAGGATAATTTCAGGGGATCGAACTTACAGCAGCTGCTGTTTCAAATACAGAGACGTGGAAATACATATATACATATATCTGTGGTCTAGTGGATAATGTTTCGCTGACTGAAACTAAATGTGCTGTTTTTGAGCTTCACGATCCGTCATTACAGATTGCTGGTACATCTGGATGACAGGTCCCAAATAGGATAAAATCGTAATTCTCAGTGCCACCACCAGTCACCACCCACCAAATAAGTTCACGTTCATCTTCAGACACCGTAGAATCATCCGTACTGGGAGCCAACGTATCAGCAAAAGCATGCTATTTCTTGCTTAATTAATCAAAGGGAAAATCCAAATTGATTTAGAGCAAAACATTTTCATGAGGTTTACTGTATTAACTAAAAAACATCTCAGACACTTTGATCATCGAATTGGAGATATGGTTAAAAGTAGTACCTTTAACTGGAGCAAAATTATGCTATTTAAAGCAGATTAATTTATGTAATGTGAAGATCATTCCTACATCACATCACCAAGAAACGTTTAATTCAAACGAATTACTGAGTTAAATAAGCAAATTGTTTAGAATAGGTAAGAATGAAAAGGTAACTTTACCGTCGTTGTCGAGACCATAGTCAAAAATTGTTTTGTCATTTCCACTTTCTGGTAATGATATATTAAAGTGTCTGTTCACCGTGTTCAGATAAACAGAAAATCTCTGCCGTCCACGTAAGTCCAAAAGACTTGTAAATGACCAAATAAGTGAGAATATTGCATATCGTAAAATCTTTTCAGAAGAGGTCGTTTCTTTTATAATTGTCTCAAAAAACTGACAAAACTGTTGGAAATAAAATAACTCTGATTCAACAACTTGCACTTCGCTAAAATTATTGCAGATAAATGTGTATAGAAGCGGGAAAAGATATTCTACTGATGACTTCAGAATATTCACATCTTTCTCAGCTCTTCCCATCAGCCACACCTTTGGAGGAAAAACCAAAAGGAAAAATAATAAATTACATAAATTTGGAGAGTTTACCAAAACCTAAACTGTAATCCTATACCTAAAAGCAAAACCTGTCATATGAAAAGTGTTTTATGAAGGAAGTGAACTGTCTGTCTGTTTTCGACATAGAACTTTGCACAAATGTGCGGAAGTTCAAGTCGCCACATTCCGTGTAGCACGCGAAGCAAGAGAAGAAAGTACAAGAAAAGCATAATAGAAACAGTGAGCAGAGGTGTGAGACAAAGGAGTAATAAAGAAATACAAAACAGTTTCATTGAAGATCATAAGTCACAGGGAGTGGATGCATCTGCGCCACTGAGAACGGTTTTGAGCCATGTCACCAATTGTTTCCAACCATAGATTTTTACCGTCCCGAGGACCCCAGCCTGGAAGTCTACACCTTTCTACGTGGCTTAGACCAACTGTTGTGGATTTCATTGACTGATGCCAAGTTTTTGTTTGACCGCCGCTAGCTTTTTTCCAGCCTGACCCTATATCCGCTAACATAGCTCGTCGAGGGAGGCGATGGCTTGGCATACGTAACACATGTCCTAACCATCTCAGTCTTTGTAGCTTCACGACTTCGTCGATTGATTTCCCCTGTTTACCTAGAACTCTACGCCTAACCTCCATGTTGCTCACCTTATTATGCCACTTTACACGGGAAATAGAACGCAGGCACCTATGATCAAAGACAGCTAGTCTTTTCATGTCTTCCACTCTCAGTGGCCAGGTCTCACAACCATAAAGGAGGACGGAGCGGACTGATGAGCAGTACACCCGCCCTTTGGTCGATAGTCGAACATCTCGTCTACGCCAGAGTCGGCGTAAACTAACAAATGCGAAACGAGCCCCTTGTATTCGTGCTGAGATTTCGTCAGAGATCAGCCCGTTGGGGCTGATGGTACTTCCCAAATAAGTGAAGCGGTCAACGTGCTCTACCACTTCACTTCCTATTTTTAAACTAGGCGTCGATGTAGTCCAGTCCTGTAACATCATCTTGCATTTGGCGGGAGCGAATCGCATGCCAAACATTCGTAGATTGCGGCTCAAGGTGTTTAGAAGACTCTGCATTTCGTCAGCGTCTTCGCCTAGAAGGACTATATCGTCTGCATATTCCAAGTCAACGAGATTATTCCCCGGTAGCAAGTCAATCCCTGAGTCGCTGAAGTCACCTAGGGTTAAGTCCATTAACACATCTATGATGAAGTTGAATAGAAAAGGAGATAATGGGCATCCTTGACGGACACCACTGGTCGTCATCAGTTCAGATGACAGCTCGCCGTAAGCCCTCACCTGGCTGTATGAGTACGAGTAGAGTGCCTTAATCAGTGCAATATATTTTCTTGGAATTCCCTTTACAGCCAAGCATCTCCAGAGAACTTCCCGATCGACAGAGTCAAGAAATATAATGACTGTTGGACGCCGGTAGGAATGCCTATGTTCTAGAATCTGTCGGAGGGTGAAGATATGATCAATACACCCTCTTCCTGGTCTAAAGCCTGCCTGGCTCTCTCGTGTTTGTGCTTCCCGAGCACCACTCAGTCTACGCATGATTATTGAGCCTAAGACTTTAGATACTATATTAGTCAAGCTAATCCCTCTGTGATTATCACAGGAAGACTTGTCTCCCTTCTTGTATATGGGGATAATCAGTGACTTACACCAACCCGATGGGACTTCTTCTGATTCCCAGACGCTGCCTAGTACCTCAGTTAATCCGGACAGTAAGCTGTCTCCACCGTACTTAAATACCTCTGGAGTCATTCCATCAGGTCCCGCTGCTTTGCCTAGTTTCAGATTGGTGACAGCTTTAGTAACCTCAGTTAGTGACGGAGGACCTGTGTTTATATCCCATTCAGGGAGGTGTTGGATGCTCGGAAGGTTGAGCGTGGCTGTGGGCAAATTAAACTGCTCCTCATAATGCTCTTTCCAACGATCCAGTCGTCTATCCTGGGAGCTAATTATAGTGCCATTTTTTTCCGAGATTGTCTCACTAATGATTTGTCTTCTCCCACCCGTTTCCCTGATGAGTCCAAAGAGTTGCCTGGTGTTGCCTATCCTCGAAGCTTTCTCCATCTCTTTGGCTTTTGTCGCCCACCACTGTTCACGGTCCTTGCGGAGACTTTTCGTAAGTTTCCTCTTGTGCAGCTTTCGCTCCTCATTGAATTCGGAGCTCGCCGGAAGTGAACTAATTTTACTAATAATCAAAGCCAATCAACAAATAGAATAGCCCTATTTTCTTATCCGTCCTTTTCTATGCGAAAATATGCAATTTTAATAGCCTAAACAGTTTGTGCGTCGGTGGTATAGCGGTTAGGACGCTCGCCGACCATGCACATGGTCCGGGGTTCGATCCACGGCCGACGAACTCCTTTACCTCCTAAGCCAGAAATAACGCTAGTAAAGAGGAAAGGTTGGGCATGAGGCTACCAACCCCATCCTGTAAAAGTAATCACCACTGCTACAGAAACTTCAAGCTACTAGCTTGAAGCCCTATTTTCCACTGGGGAACGTGAAAGAAAAAATTAATCAATAAAACAGTTTGCAACACGTAATAATCTTTTCACCCAGGAGACTGCACTGAATGACCTTAATTTCGCAGAGTTCCCTCCAAACTCGGTGTACTGAGTACTTTCGCGGGCAACCATTTCGGTCAATAAATATTGGTTAAATCCATAGATCAGTGCTTACTGCACAATCCTAATTCTAGGTAAATCTTTTCATTTCAAAGTTATCAGGCGTACACTAGAAAATTAAGGTACTACATTTTGAAAATGAAGTGCTTGTACTGTTGCAGAAACTACATGTTTGTGTGTAAAATATGCTTTATCTTTACAATTACTTATTCAATCACCTTTGACGGAAAATGCAATGCATAACCTAGACTGAGTAGATAAATCCAACTGTATCGACTTCTCTCTGATACGCCTATATGTTTACTATGAAGTATTATAATCTGTAGAAATCAAACCAAATCAAATACGCATACTGATGATCTTGTCTGGCATGATAGTGTAATTTTCCATAATCTATGCTTAATTATGTTAATTTCAATTAATTTCCCTGAAGAAGCGTGGACTAGTTTGCCGAACGAATCTTTGGAATTACTCATTTCAATTTCTCTAAGATTTTACAGATGTCTTCTTCTCACTCGGCGCCTAATTATTTCGGAGCGATTTGGTCAAATCTTGATCACACTTAATATGAATGTGCTTAATTACATAAAACTAATACAACAATTTTAAAGAAAAGCTATAAAAATACGTTTGCACTTATCTAAGCCTGTCAAATACCTTAGCTTGAGAAGTTGAATTAGAAATAAACCTCAACCAAGAACTTCTCTGGAGTAGTTTTATCGTCTTACTTCAAGTACAGCTGACCAGTTGAGTGTTTTGGTATCCATGTACACTACCCCATTCCTCGAAATAAAACTGGGTGAAGCATTGTTCACACTGTCAGTCTCGAAAATAATTTGGCATTCACGTAAACTGTCATCTGCATCACAGGCATTTGAAGGCAGCAGTTGACTGCTACCCTCAAAAGCAGAATGCAAGTACTCCATGTAATCCACTTCAACTGATCCATCAATAATGAAACAACAGCATTCTTTTGATTTCATTCTCAGATATTTACGGCATAATTTTGTGATGATGCCATCCGTCCAGGAATTACTCTTCTTATCAAGATATCCAAAGATTTCACTCCGTGTGATTGTCTTGTGGTATAGACGTATTTCTCTATATCTTTTATCAGATTTATTCATTGCCCGAATTAACGTGCTGATTGCTGTCGATTTGCCCACTCCAGCTGAGCCAATCACCATAATTCCACTGTTATTCTTCTTCTTATCGTTATTGAAAAGATTATGAAGCTGGGGAAAAAGAAATGAAGTCTAATGGGTTCACTCATTATACAATAAATCCGTTATTTGTAAAATCACTAATTAATGCTTACCTAAATAATTACAGACGATATTTTTCACTAACTCAATACAAAATCACTTAAATTTCCCCAGTACCTTAGTAGTTCTAGCTACCACATGGATAAAATGCTTTGTAATAAACATTACACTCGATCAGAATACTAATTGCTGGTCAGAAGAGTCACCGCCAACCAAAATGGAACTGTTAGTCATTTATCGTGTAAAATGACAGAGGAGATTTTTAGCTCAGATAGAATGACTTTTTGTGTGGCTGTGTTTTCAGGCCTGAAGATGTTGTCCACAAAAACTATAAAAGCTAGGCAATTAAATCACCCTGCTCAGATAACACAACCCTACCAAAAATATTTGTTTATTGGCATTGAAAACCAACAGTTCAGCTGAGTGTTTTACTAGTAAAATATTGATTTTCAGTCCACTGTGCACAAGAGTTTCGTAACATCAAGTCCATTTCATTCGATTTAATTAAGAGCCTGTTGTTCATTTACCTAAACTGAAGTGAGTAACTGTCAGACGGTTGGCAATTTTACTTAGCGTGAACGTTTGCTTTTTCGTAAATAAAAATGCTGTGTGTTGCGATAAATGAACCTGAAGAAAGCGTAAAGTCAACGTGCAGGAAAAGAACAACACAGTGGAAATTGATACCGAAATGACTTTTTAGAAAATTTTACTCATTATTGAGAAAATGTAAAACTTTCAGACTAAAATTCGAATTCACGGAAAATAATCATGTTTACCGCTCGCTGCCCTTTTTATCAGGTCTCGGTCTTTTCATCTCCATGCTACCTACAGTGATTATGATAATGATAAATCCCCTGCATTTCTCTCGTCTGAGCCTTTATTTGACGTTACGTGACCATGTGATTTTCGCACACTGCATACAACCTACACATTCTTGTTAATAGTAAACACTACGATAGCTTCTTAATTTCTAGACAATGAGCAACATTTGTGCTGAAACCTTAGTTTTCCTTCAACTTCGGCAACATCCTTCAGAATGAGTGTTATTTTTAAAGGAACACTAGGAGACTGTAGAAAATCTGGATTTCGTAGATGATACATGTCTAATATCACACAAACTCAAAAACCTACGGGCGATAAGCAACAAACTGGCTGAAGAAGCAGGCTGTGAAGACAGGACTGCGGGTAAACATGGAGAAGACAGAGATGATGAAGGTGACCAATCAATGGAAACAACAACAAGCAACACTAGTCACCATCAACGGGAGAGATTTAACAGAGGTTACTTCCTCCACTCATCTAGGAAGCACGGTTGCAACTGCAGGTGGCGTAATGGATGAAGATGTCAAAACCAACCAGAATCGGAAGGGCATGATACGCCTTCATCAACCTGAAACCAGTTTGAAAATCTTCTGCTTCACTCAGCCTGCATACGGAGCAAGATACGGATTTTCAGAACAAATGTGAAGTCACTCAGCTCTTCTATATGGGTGAGAAACGTGGCAGGAGCATCACGGAAAGCATTCTCAACAGGTTATCACAGACTTTTATCATTAACTGCCACCTTCGTAGGGTGGCTCCATACAGGAGATCAAATGGCAGGCCAGAAAGAGTAAGCAACAAAAAACTATGGAAAAAAACTAAGTACTTATCCCTCAACAAATATATAGGAGAAAATGGAGATTGATTGAGCATACACTGAAGAGACCGTTGAATGACATCACGCGGCAGAGCATTTCTTGACTGAAATGAGAATCGGAAACGACGACTAGTTCACTCTATGGTGACATGAAGGAGGTCATGTTGGGAGGCGATTAGAAACCACGATAAAGGGTACGGCAGAAAATAGAACAGAATGGAGATGTTTTGTTGAAGCCGTATGTTTCAGTCGGAACTCAAGGTAACAATAATAATAATAATAATAACGTACTTACATTTATTATTTTACTTATCCATGGTTTATATGGAGACAAACCATTCTTTGAGGCTTCATATTCCACAGTCTTGACGAATTCATTAGCTTGCTCATCCAAATCAGTTGATTTAATAGATGGGAAGTAATCAGATAATAATTGCAAAAACAATGGCTCATCCTCGGAAGTCAACATGTGTAAATTTCTATCGCGTAAATGTCTTACTAAAACTTGTTCCTCGTTGATAAGTTCATGTATGTTATGTGTTGAACGAATTTCATCAAGTATGGAGATAATATTTCTCAACCCGAAATCATAGTAAATCTAAGAATCAAGCATGAAGAAAAATGTATAACAAGCACTCATTCTAAACATCCAGATGTAAGCATTTAATTAGCATTACATTTTGAGCACTCTGCTTCATTTAGGCTGTGAGCGTTGTGCTGGTGAAGTAATACTGATTGTGTGCAGTTACCGAACGTAAGATTTTATGTTTGCTAACGAACAAAACCCTATGTATTGCCAGTCAGTTTTTAGCAATCCATGTCAGATCTATTCGCGATTGCTGGTATACAAGAGGAAGAATGCTTGCAGGCTGAAAAACAATTCATGTTTCACCTTCATAACTTTTGTAATCAACCATGACTGACGAGAGTTTAGAAATGAGCATATTGTCACTGAAAATATTTTTGGTCATTTCATTGAAGGCTCCAAACAATATATCTCATTTATACCCAAATTAATCCAGACAGTGGGTATTTCTCCTCACAACTCAGAAAATGATGCAAAGTATTCATCTGAAAGTCATAAATTCTCACCTATTCACTTCATAGCCTATAATCTATCTGATAATTAACAACTTTCTTCATACCTCATATGATCAATCAGCGACAGCAGACTTATTTAAAGTTCTTGAAGTATAACTAATTCACACCTGTAAGTATCAAACTGATCCATCATAAAAGATCACTGTGAAGTTTCTTTCTTGAATCTCACGGAAGTATTCAAGACCACTGCAAGTAGTTAGGATGATTTATTATTGTACATACCTGATGTTGCAAGGAATCTACAGTTTTACTAATTCTTTTTCTTAGGGAGTATTGGAAGGTTACTGCTACAAACTTGGTACAACAACATGTACGTATCGAAGCTTTATAACCAATGAATGGTATACTTTTCATAAAATTTACAATTTTAGACTAACTCATTACTGTGTATAAAAGCTCGGAGTATATATTAAAGTTTAAATAGAATACATAAGGAAGGAATCTAAATGTTCACATGCTTGAAGACTTACTTGAGCGCACAGGTATCTTTCACAATCCTTATAGAAATTGCAGAGTTTTCTCGCTAATGATTTACTGTTAGAAAATCCGTATGTGGCTAATCGAATACGAAGTATCATTTGACAATCCGGAAGCACCACCCCGATAAAGCGAAAATGATTTTTCATACTTTCTGTCGTATCTTGGTTTCTGGTAGTAGGTGAATTCTGAAATTTTGGATTAGTTGAGAATAAAATAATCACTTCATGGTAATGCAGCAGTTCGAATCATCGCAGTTGCCAACATCTTCAAAGAAAAATAATACAACTACCTGGAAAACCAGTTAGTGACACTAGTAGGCGCTCTGCTTATTGGATGTGAGTGGGAAGCACAATGAAGTAGTTCTGTGAATTAAAACTTAGTATTTTATTATGCTGATGAACGCAATGAACAGAGACTGGCTAAATAAACTATAATACTGATCCGATGATTCAGTCATTTGTCAGTATACTCGTAAAAGAATATAGATAGATAATCTGTTCGCACAGATTGACACCATCTTCATTCTGTTGGAGGTAGGAATGAATTTCAAAACATAATAGTATTTTCACTGCATTTCTAAATAAATGAATTTCAATATCCATGTAAGAACCTACACACACTGAGTCAAGTCATGTAGTTTAAGCAAGTTATTTCAGTTTGACAGCATATCACTGAAAGAGAAGTGGCTGAGTTGCTACACATTTGGCTATTCGCTTTCATCTAGAGAGTTATTCGAATTATCATGAGACTTACAGTTTGCAGCCAAGTGTCTGGACTCTAAGAATTATTGGCTAAAGTCAAACTTACCAAAGTTATGAAGATACCGAATTCTTTGTTTATAATTAGATTTTCTTTGTCTAACCAACATGGAGATTCAAGTTTTTTTTCGTTTTTTAAATTAAGTAGAAACGATATATACTGGGAAATGACTGACAACACAGTCTCTTCAATGTAATTGAAATTCCCGAAAATCCCCCATGAGCCTGACTGAGTTAATCCCTTGAAAACACTTATTAGCTGATGAACATTATTCTCGTTGGAGCATTCGAATGCCATCAAATGTTTGCCAAGTATTCTGCTTATTTCCTAGGTTTGAAATAAAATTTGTTATATAGTAATCGCGTATGAAGATGAAAGCAAAATTAAACCGTATGAGCATGATAATGCAATCTCAAATAATAATGGGTTTTACAAGTCAGCATCAAATGATAAATAAGAAATATACAAATCACTGTCATGAACACTTAATGTCAAAAAATTATGCGTTTTTTAATAACTGTAAACAAAAGTAGAGTCACTCTTCATACATACTCGTTTGTAATTGACTTAAAATTACTATCTAGTCAAATACGTGAATAAAACTGAACCTATGGAAACGAGAATGTATTGATCATCAATTCACTCTTCAAAAAAAGATCATGGCACACAGGTTTAATATCTGTTGTCCAATATTTGCAATATTTCTTAACCTGAAAGCGGTATGTGACTTCTTTCCACGGAGACGTAATGAGTTCATGTCTGAAATCAAATTTAAAAACCAAAGAAGTGTGAATGCACCAATGACCATGTGAACAGAAGTTGCTGTAAAATGTAAACTCGACCCCCTGACTCAAAGTCAACCCTCGAATTTCCCTCACCTAACCCTAACACCAACCAATTCTAATACCCTAACTAATTAGTTCAACGCAACTCTAACGTGTTTCTAGCCTAAACTTAACGTAACCCAAAACTAACCAGATATTCCGTTTAATATCATTACACTTCATTGAAGACTTTTTCATGAATATATTGTTATTTACCTGATTTCACTACCTTGCCCTTAATTATCGCCCCAAGGTCATTGGTGCGTTAGCGCCTGTTAAGTGTCTGAATTTTAAATTTACCGTCCTTCTCATATGCCATTGCAGTTACCAGAGGTTTCTTGAAAACATTTGACACTACTTCTTCAATAGACTGAATATGAAGCCAGGCTCCCCCAGGATAAGCATTACTCTCATACTCAGGTATGTGTTAAGCTATGTCTTCCCTAAATAAACACTATGTCGTCACCGAAAAATAACTATTTCGTAGCTGCTTGTCTCCTATCTCTGTTCAGTCGGAGGAATACGTGCACTGACTAGTACGTGACTGGAATCCACTTCCACTGACATTCTCCATCGATAGTTTACAGCTATTTGATTTATTTTCACTCTTCGATGGTATACGTGATTGGCAGGTGGGAAAAGACGACTTCCTTCCTGATGCTTGTTATGGAACGATGGTTACCAGAATAAAGTTGTAAGGTACGATTAAGGTTGTCAGTTAGTCGGTGTGGGCCTTCATGGATGCCTTCAGTATACTTTTGTGGCTGGCTCAGCTTCATTAATTCAGGTTAAGATCACAAGTGGTTTATTAAGTCAGCCAAAAAAATTACCTAACTCTTCTTTACCAATCGTTTGTGACAGCTCATCACTTTTCCTACTATCCTCTTATATCAAAATCCAATTCTTCTGAGCGCCTTTTGTATTACGTAACTCCTCCAAAAACTTACTAATTGTATTTTCGTTTGACAGATTTAATGTATGCACACATACGAAACAACCATATATATTTGCAATTGTACAGCTATGAAAATAAATTCACTGAACTACTTGTCGAATGGGGGTTTTTCATGCATTAAAAACGAACCATCTAAAAACACTGTTTCTTACCATCACCATCGCCTTCTTTCCCGTCCCAGATGGTCCCAGCATAGCTACACCGAATCCTTCATTTAGAGCGTGTGACATCCCAATAAAACACCGATTTGTGAACGGAGTTATGATCAATCTTTCAGCACAACTAACAAACTCATAACCGTAGTCAAATGATATATTGGATATTGTGAGCACACAATTTCTCCTCTCATCCAAATAAACGCGAATTTGCTTTATCCATTCAAAATCACATGCGCTTTGAATTCTTGCCCTTACCTGTTAAAGTGATATATTTCGATAAGGTATGTGTAATGCAAATTCTTTCTTAGTTTATAATCTTTATTTATTCAAATTACTGCATGCATTGGATAATGTATGATTATAGGAGAAAACAACATTTGTCAAAAAAGATAATGATCCACCAGCTTTTAAACCATGCCCTTAATACTTGTGAACTGTTATCCATAGTCAAGGCAATTAAATCTATATTAACAAGTATTTTCTCTTCTTCTAAAAGGCTGCGATTATTTAAACAACAGACTCTACTTTGGGTTTTCATTGAGCCATGAGGTGGTGCGGGATTCGAACTGGTGTATCTCTGCTACTAAAGACAAAACCAGTGATTTAAAGTATTCCCATGTCTGTATATTCGACATAAATATCATCACTTCTCCGTTGGATACGCATACTAAATTATCTCCATCAGAGAAATTTTAAATGTATACACTGTTTGCTAATTTGGTGCGTTAATTATTGTGTTACTACTCATAAGTAGCTTATCTATAAATGAAACATTTCACATTAGACAAAAGCATCAAAGAGTAGTTTAATGACTCCACAGATCATTTATTCAAAAAGTCTTGATGTGTAGCACCTCAAGTGGAACGAAATTATCTATGAAATAGCCTGACAGATTATAATTTCTTGTCCTACAGGTGAGAGAATAAAACTGTGTTGTTGACTTACCACTCGAAGCATTGAGACATTGTTAATTAGTTTTGACTTCCAAAACACGATTTTTCAGATGTAAAAAAAGCCACAGTAAGTCTGAAATGCATTGAAAATGTGTTGGGCATACTACAAAGCGGAGATGTACTTTCTTCTGAAAGACATCAGGAAAACAACTGACCAAATTGCAACGGTTATGAAGCAAAGTTGAGTTGTCGTAACCAAAGTCAAGGTCTGTCAGACGTATATATATGTAAATTAAAGTAAAAGTGTCGCGCTAATAGTTTCATGTCATATTTCTTTCTTTTCAATAGATAAAGACTGTTTGGCAAATCCCACCTGAACGATCTACTCACAGATTCATACTTATTGAGATGTTTCAACTAACTTTTTAATTATTATCTGTTTTTCTCTTAGACTTATTTTGACATTTTCATATTACACGTTGATTTGATCCTTATCATTTGTATTTGTGCTTGTTTAGTCTCTAACTGTGTGCACACTGATAATGTGCCTTCTGTAAGATATGATGTTGTTTGAGTGAGTTGTCATTCCTCTCCTTGGAGTGTCTACGCGAAGCGTTGGCGTGTGATTCTTCTGGAAACCGTTACTGATCTCACCATTTTGGAAATATTCTACTTGATTCTAAGTGCTCACTTTTTACTTCGACTAGATCCTGTGGAGCCAATTATACAAAACAATTTAGTTTATCTAGTATCCTCCCTGCAATGATTGGCAGGTCAAATACATAGGTCAGAGTAGTATAACAGGTACAGTCAGACTATCAGAGCTTGAAAACCTAGCAAAATCTAGATTAGTTGACCCGAATAAGATAAGAAATCTAAAGAATAGTTCAGCTATAGCACTACATACAATAACACACAACCATACAATAGTATAGAATAGGATAAGATGACAGTTATAAAATCTTATATAACAGGATGAAGGGAGAGATTGGTAACAAAAGACGTATCTATCAAACGAACTGAGAGAGAATACATGTAACAGAAATGATTCAACGCTTGTCCCAGACATGTGGAAACTTCTACTACTCCCACGACAAATAGTAAAGAATAAAGAAAACAGTAAAACAAAAGTCTCGAAGTTGTGTGGTTATAACTGATATGATTACGAACAGTAATAAATTGAGTTCGAAGCATCATCCGGTAAATAATACTATTTCACAGTGTGACATATCTATTAAACAAATTAGCAGGGAATGTATAGCTGCCTAACGGAACTGTCCAAGTAATTTTGAGTTTTTGATGCTATAGTTGTTTCCTGTCTCTGGAGCTTTACGTGACTGCAGGTGTGTCTCAAGGACGTTTACAGCTATGCAGTAGAACACAAAATCTGTTTCCTGCATTCAGACCATAACGAGTCAGTTTTATTCGCTACACCCAATTTAGGCTAATGCATTTTGATGACATAATTCAACTACAAGAAAAAAACACTTCTCAACTCTATTGATAACTGCATTTATCGTATAGGCTTTTTAAATAAAAAAAACTGGTTTAACAGATTTGTTTGAGTATTCATTCAATAAATTAAATACAGTCATGTGAGAAATTAACTTACAAGTTGATCTAAGATTTCCTTCAGGATTAGGCACTGTGTTGTTAGATTTTCATATTTCGCCTGCTGCAGATTGGTCTTTCTAACCATCTTTGTGTGGTTTACAAGTGTATGGTAAACCTTTAGGAAATATTTTCTAACTGAACCACAGTCATATTTATGATACACCATGCTACTATAAATATTAACTAGTGAAATCTTTTGGCTTGAACTCAACATTTCACAGATGTCTTTTGTCCACAATGACTGTAAGCAAAGAATACCGAGTTGTGTTGGATTGTTGATGAGTATCTCCATGAAACTGTCATCATTAACCATAACAATTGAATGATGCATACTTTCTAATAGCTTTTGTAATGTGTGGCGAATAGAGTGTAAAAGATTTGACAACCAGATCTCACATGAACTTTCACAACGTATAGGTATCATTAACTAATCAAAAGTTAAAAAAAAACAGACAAACAATCAAAGAAACATACAAGTGGTATTCTCAAGTGAACGTCAAATACATTTAAAAAAAAAATAAAATTTAATCATGCTGTGATCTATGTAATTTTCTTCAATGCAGAAACCTGGATCGTTTAAATTCATTCTCATTGTTTACTATAGCTATCTATTAAGAGAAGAAATGTATTTGATTGATGTGTGTTCTATAATCGACTATAAATCTGCTATTTCCTCTAGTGAATCATGACAAATTTGACAAGGCTTCACTAGGAGACCATTTTACTGAATCCAGCTGGTATGATGGATAAAAAGATTCCAACGTACATAGCGATATGAAAAGAATGAAATTATTTTTAAATACCGCTAGTCAAGAAACTCTGTTTCTATTATTCCATTTTTGTACCAAGAATATCAGTTATATCAATTATCGATGAAGTATACATTACCGGATTTAGAGGTTTCTGGTATAAGGAAACACTGGCAACCTCTTTGTAAGAATGGGAAGTGTTGTAGTGATATCCTCCCTCAAAGATAATAAATGTAAGCCCTTAGCCAAAGCACAACAACCCATATTTATGGCGAAGTTATGTGCAAACAGTATATCAGACACAATATGAGAGTCAATAGTTATTTTAAAACATTCAGTTTACTCAAAATACTTGAAATGATACAGCTCGCATAAATATCGAAATAGTTTCCACTTACTGACAACCTTTCTCCGTCGAATGAGCATACTTCAACAATCTCATTAGCATTATTCTTGTTGATAAAATTTAATTTCTCCACATATGTAAATAGTTTATTGATATGTCTGTGTATAACACGCATACTGGCAGTATCATTCATCTGTCCAATAATTTCCACCAACAATGAATCAGGTATGAAATAAAGACGTGGAAATAATTTTCTTTTCATTTGTAAATAGTTGGTCAATGATTTCTGACAAATTTCTAATTCTTCATTTATATGATTCAATAAATGATGTAATGATATGTCACTGTTGACACAAAACGTAACAATACAACGTATATCTCCAATGCGTCCCATTAATTTTAAAAAATTACGATCAGCGGTGTAAAATCTTCTGGTGTCTTCTCTTAGGTGTTGTTTAATCACAGTATCATTTGTATTGTAAATTGCTTCCATATTCATCCACAGATTTTGTACTTTGAGCCAACTTTCGAGGATCTCGTATGTCGTTTGTAAGTTAACCAACCAAGCTTGAATTTGGATACGCAGTGGAATACTGTGACTAAAATGTTAAATTAGGTATTAGTTAGACATATTAAATTTAATATGAATATATTTGTGCAATGACTCATTCCGGAGATTATATCCACTTATAAGCCTTCTTATGAACTATTGTGGGCTTAAATTAAATAGAAAAAAGTTACTGACAAAAAAGTGTCGATTTTCAAACAGACCTTACATTCACCTGTTCAGAAGTTTGTTTATTGTTAACTGAAGTTTAATAAGCTCAGATTTAGTAATATGAAAACTATCCGATTAGTTTATTGCGTCCACGTTTGGTAGACTTTGTTTACTGAAATTAGTATCAGTTTGCAAGTGACAAGAGATATCAGATGCAGAAAAGTACTCGCTGTTTGTTACTCAGAGTTATTTCACTAAACCAATGAATCAATGAATGATGTGTTAGTTTATGTTAGAAAAATTCTTGAAATCGATTACAAGGATATTGACCTCTATGCTGCAAAAACATCGCACTTTGTCCCTGTCATATATGTAACGATCATCACATTACATAGAACTGAATAGGTGAATAGCTCAAGTTTAAGCAAAAGTCAATCATCTACCTATAAGTTGAATGCCTCCGCTGAGTCATTTGGTAAGCAAGCTAAAAGGAGCTACAACACAACTTTCCTATCAACACAGTCAACTGTCAACGTCAAGTTGGAAAATCTCACAACCATTTGCATTTAAAAGTCTATCCATGATGTTAATCAAAAATAGACATTTTTATAAATTTCCCAACAAGTCTAATGTTTCGTTTTTCCCCACCGCTACGGTGGCATGGGAAATCACTGGTAATTTTTCTTATTAAATAAGTTAGTTCACTAACTTCATGCATAAACAGGACATCAGGCCATTCTAGTTACTGAAGAATAAATTTAAAGTAACATTCAGAAGAAGTTTTATTACTTTCGACATTTTTAACTTAAGACAAGATATTGAATATTGATTTATCGGACAGCACTGAAAATTAACAGATATATTAACTTTTTGGCTTGAAGTTACCACACGTCCAATACAGTAAGTACCATTTCACATTAGTATGCACCATACAACAAGCTGACTCTTTCACACTCTTCACAGATAAAACAAAACGTATAACTTACTGGTTGCTTAACAGATTTTTTAGTATGACTATAGATTCATCTAAATTTTGAAGTATACTCTCCATTTGATCACTGTCTAACAAGAGATGACCACGGTGTTTAAATGAACTCAGTGAAAATTCCCGTCGTTTCCATGTTCCAATTAGTGAATTAAATTGTCTTTCAATATCTGACTCACGAAGAGCTGCTACACAAATGTCTTCAATTTGCTGCTTGCTGTCACCATTTAGACTCATAAGAACAGCGATTATATGCTTGAATTTCAAGTCGATTGTTTCATTAGTAAGCAAAGTTATCTTCGTTAGCTGTCCAATCCTAGTCCAATGCCTTCTTCGTAAAGTTCTGCTTTTAAGTTGCTGAAGTAAGGGTAAATTTCGAACAAACTCGTCTATTTTCTCGTGCACAGTTTTGTATGCAGCCCAAGTACGTGTAAATCTGGTCAGGTCACGACATCTGAATTGTAATCAGGTATTTCTAGATTAGTTATCTCACATATCTATATACTTTAAGTGGTTACTGAAGTAAATAAAATATACATATGCTCAAATACGGTTGTAGAATACAAACGTATCAACAAGGATTTAGTTTGTTATAAGCAGAAATCAAGAACAAAGCTTTGTAGGCATTAACTATGAACATTTCAGTTGCACTTGTTCGCATTGATGAAAAAGATGGGAAACGGAACATCAGTAAGAAACCGTTTCATGTATATTGAAAATTGTCTACATTGTTACATTTCAACCTTCTTTCTGCGGGTAAGTAATTGTTTAACTCTGGCACTGATGGTCTAAATATGCGAGGATGGAGTTTAAAGTCCGCGACGACCAGTGACCTGCTTAAAACTTAAGCTACCGAAAACTACTATCTCTAATTCGGCACTAGCAACTAATATGATGTGTCTAGTCCTATCTTTGGTACAGACTGAATTCTATTGGTCAGGTTTGCAGTGTGTTCATCACTATAGGTAGCTTGCTCCCAGTGGTGCATTTTGAATACTTGATATTAGATGGCTGCAGGCAATCGGCGGGAAGCCTTAAACCTAGGTTTCGTACTAGTTGGTGCTCACCAGTCAGCAAGGCGTATCTGCAATCTTGAAGAGACTAATGTCTCTTCGGAGATTCGGACAAGCGTCACCCGGTGCTGTGGTCAGAGAACATTAAAATGGTGGACACATCGCAAACGTGACTGACAGAATTCAGTCTGCATCAAAAATAGGACTAGACATATTACACTAGTTACTGACTACCATCCAATCAAAAATATCCAATACAGTCCCACAAAAGTCAATCTCGAGCCTGATTAGCTTAGTGGTAACGTGTCTGACTGCAGCACTGGGTGACACGATTCGAATCTCAGAAGAGGTATAAATCCCTTCAAGGTTGCAGATACGCCTCACTGACTGGTGTGTGCTAACTAGTTCGAAATCTAGGTTCAAGGCTTCCTACAGACTACCTGCAACCATCTTATGCTTCCATCTCTACATCACATATAATTTTTCTCCTTCTCTTTGTTCTAATCGTTTATTATATGCCTCTAATTGTATTATCTACTTCTGTATGTATTTAAAATGTTTACAAGCTTCTGATTTGCAAGTCTCTATTAAACTTGAGAAAGGGGCTGATTGTGTGTGTCAACGTGTCCCAATAGTTGAGAGAACTCTACTTCTCAACTTCTTATAATTGTCTTTCAACTAAATATCGTGCATTTGTTGAGGAAGAGAAAGGAGAAATATCATGATGGATTGGTTTGTAATTCAGCTCAGGTTTCAGGATATACGCTCAATTAATGTTTTATTTGAAGATCTTGTATGAAGGGAAAATACAATGCAATAAACTCCGCTGAAAATTCTGTACATTATGTAGACACTGTGAAGAATAATGCTATTATTATAAGAAAAGTTTTAACACGAAATCAAACATGTTTTTTTACGACTTCACAGTCTCACCTATTCTGCATTTCCTTTAACTCATCTTCAAATGTTTTAAGGTCCATGCTAAGCCAAAATGTTTCCATGTATGAATCCAGGGTTTTATTAAAGTCATTGTATAGTTTGTATAAATTCAAGAATGCTTGTGTTTGTTGGCCAATATGTTTCAGCTGATTTAAATTTATTGAGTCCAAGTTAAACAACAGTTCACAACGATGAAGTCTTTCCGCCTTGTTAAATAACTGTTCATACTGACAACGAAAATCAATCTGACGGTCAATATCTTCGTAACGAGCCAGGTTGACACTGGATGGACCTCTCTTAAGTGAAGCATTATTAAAACATTACAATCAATTTGAGCGCTAAACAAAACAAACTACACATTTTAATAAAATCTTTCCCCCATTACTTTTGACCGCTGAATCTGAAGCTAGTTAACTTAAAAGGATGACAACAAACTCTAGACCTTCCGTATGCATCATCTAAGTGATATATTGTCCAACGTTCAAGTACAAAATAACATGAAGAGTTGAGCTCAAAGATTTCTTTCCACTTGGTATCGGACGTGTATGATTAATGTCAAATACTGATACTAAGAAATTATATCCAGTGAGGGAATTAGGTCAAAGGTGTGAATACATGAAATAATAATAATAATACGACGTGCAATTAAAATGTTAAAATATATTATAATCAAAAACACTGATATAATGATGAAAGGTTAATTAAAACAGTATACAATTTTGAAGTCAGACATTGGTTCTACAATCAATAAATAGCATAAAGTACTTAAATTTATAGGAACATTTAATAATGTTGTACACGTATGAATAAATTATGCTGCAGACTGAGTAGTTTTGTGGCGTGTGCCACTGATAAGATTTATCAGTAGTACATAAAGAGATGTTCGTTGACATAAAAAAAACATCAAACAGCAAGGAGATAGATATGATGTCAAAGAAAACAAATGATACAGCGTTGAGGCGATACATAGAAGAAATCAAAGAAATACAACATGATGGTCAAAAGAGGCACAGCATGGACGATCTGTGCAAACTGTGCTTTGAAGATAGGGTGTAGATAATTTCGATATAAAAGGATAACAAGTCTCTCGTCTTCTACTGTTACAGTTTGTTTAAGTCTAGTAATAAATATCATCTACTTGGAAAGGAGTGAAATCTTTTACCAGATTTTCTTTACTTTATTCGACTATCGACCAAAGGGCGGGTGTACTGCTCATCAGTCCGCTCCGTCCTCCTTTATGGTTGTGAGACCTGGCCACTGAGAGTGGAAGACATGAAAAGATTAGCTGTCTTTGATCATAGGTGCCTGCGTTCTATTTCCCGTGTAAAGTGGCATAATAAGGTGAGCAACATTGAGGTTAGGCGTAGAGTTCTAGGTAAACAGGGGAAATCAATCGACGGAGTCGTGAAGCTACAAAGACTGAGATGGTTAGGACATGTGTTACGTATGCCAAGCCATCGCCTCCCTCGACGAGCTATGTTAGCGGATATAGGGTCAGGCTGGAAAAAAGCTAGCGGCGGTCAAACAAAAACTTGGCCTCACCAGTCAATGAAATCCACAACAGTTGGTCTAAGCCACGTAGAAAGGTGTAGACTTCCAGGCTGGGGTCCTCGGGACGGTAAAAATCTATGGTTGGAAACAATTGGTGACATGGCTCAAAACCGTTCTCAGTGGCGCAGATGCATCCACTCCCTGTGACTTATGATCTTCAATGAAACTGTTTTGTATTTCTTTAATACTCCTTTGTCTCACACCTCTGCTCACTGTTTCTATTATGCTTTTCTTGTACTTTCTTCTCTTGCTTCGCGTGCTACACGGAATGTGGCGACTTGAACTTCCGCACATTTGTGCAAAGTTCTATGTCGAAAACAGAAACAGAGACTTTATTCAGTGATTGTAACAACTGCAAAGAAACGTCCTACCTAGAGTATGGTTCATACAGCTTATTCTTCATGATGAGCTCATTTGAAGAATTCAGATAAAATCGAGAGGTTGAAAATTATTTTATACATATGATCACATCTAATATTTAAAAAGTATCCCACTTCAGACTTAAGTATTTCAAGGTAAATTGAAAAGCGGATAGTACATTTGATCATGGGAATCTACTCTGTTGAAGTTTCCATGAAGGTAGTGAGGGGTACAGCGGTCATAATCGCTAATCTGCTCAGAAGCAGAGGTTATTATCCGAAAAATTATTTTGGCTTGAGTTTTCCCGATGTCAAGTTGATGAGAGATGAAAAACGTTGAGGAAAGTTATGTTATTCGAAGTTTTCATAATAAATCAAAAGCTGTCTGTTCGAAACCTAGACTGCCAAAAAACTCCATCATTACATACCACATATAATTTCTTTTGTTCATTTTGTTTTAATCTATTTGAATATAACCTCTACTGGTGTTTTCTACTCTCACGAGTACTTGAAGCGTCTACAACCTGCTGACTCGCAGTTTTCTACTGAATTTGAGAAAAAGCGAACTCGTGGGTGGTATAATATTCCAGCACATTAGATTACTATCACCAAGGCTTTTAGTACAGACTGCCACTGTCTGGGAAATAAAACTAATTACCTGCAGTCTTTAGGTATTCTACTGTTATTATGTCCTAAGCATAAAAAGTGTACTCCTGCGTGTTTCATAATTTGCTTCCAACCAAACGTTATTCACTTGTCGAAAGAGGCAAAGAAGAAATATTATAAGGGATGGAATTTCACTTCAGTTCGGAAAGCGGTGTATCACACGATTTACTTTCAGTAACTGTCTTACTTGAATATTCTGTACAAAGAGAAGCTATTGTGCAATAATTTCCGCTGAAAAGTCTGTGCATTATATAAACACTTTAGAATAAGCTATTAAAGTTAATATTCATTCAGCGTTTTCAGGAAATCAAACTATATCGTTTGGTGGGTGGTGACTGGCGGCGGAATCCAAGATACGCATATCGTCCTTTGGGGGACTCGTCAGATGGATACCCCTGCAATCCCCAGTGACTCATAGTGTTCTCACTGAGACTCGAATCCACCATCCTTTGTTCCAAACCACAAAGCGTCATCAACTATGCCACCTGAGCTACAAAACTCACTTTTTAGTGCTAGAAATCGTGAATGATGTGTTTATTGAATCTTGGTGGGAACCTCATCAGTCACTCACTGAAGATTGAAGGTACACCCAACCGATCCGTCTCCAATAGGACAAAATGGGTATCGGTAGAATAAAATAGAAATCAGGAATTATGTAGTATATATAGTTTAGGAGCAAGAAGAGCTTTATCTATCCAACATGTTCTAT